TGGGGGCCAGCCCGGCATCCCAGCCACTTCGAGTCCAGCGGCTACCAGGCTCCTCCCACAGCCAGATGAGACCATCTGTCCACTCGAGGCCACACAGTGTGCTGTGGGCAGCAGGCAGCACAGGGCCAGGGGTGGGGCTGTGTGCACCTGAGTGTCCCGCTCCCACAAGGGGTCCCAGGGAGATGGGGGGACAATGCCCCCAAATCCCAGCCCAGGCCCCAACCAGTCAAGGCTGAAAGTGCAGAACCGTGGGTGCCTGGGGCGCCTGGCCCTCTGAGCATCACTGGACAGGGGCTGCGGGGTCTCAGTTGGGGGGGTGCCTGGCCCTCTGAGCATCATGGGACAGGGGCTGCGGGGTCTCAGTTGGGGGGGCAGGCTGCTGGTCATCTGGGTGAGCCGCACACCCTTCCCTTACAGCTGCCCTCCTGGGCTCACACTGCCCTCCCCATGCCCTGGGAAGGCCCTCACCTGTGACAGGCAGCTGGTTCTGTTTCTACCTCTGGCAGGGTGGACCCTGGCAGCTGGGGTGGGGGGTCTGCAAGACTGGTGGAAAACAGGAGTTGGCAGGGTTAGGGACAGAGGCCAGAGGTCAGAGAGGGCTGCAGCCAGGCAGGGCCTCCCCTGGGTGCTGGGGAGAATGAGGGGCACTCCTCTCACATCCATGGCTGCAGGGTGGGGGCCACAGCAGGCCAGATTCGGTGGGGTGGCTGCAGGTAGGAGCTGGACTGGGAGCGACAGCTTTTCAACATGCTCAGGGGGGCAAAACCACAGGGGACCTACCAGCTGGCCATGGTAGGGTCACTAATGATACTCAGGGACCAGGGAGTAGGGAGGAGACCCAGGGCCGGCCCCACCCCAGCCACACAGGGCCTTGGAGGGAGGGTGGGGCAGGTGACCTCCTGCAGGCCTAATGCCCCTTCCCTGCCGTCCCCTGTCCCCGCCCCTTGGGGGACTTGCATCCAGCCACCCTGTCTCCAGGGTCTCGGGGTTCCCACCCCCTCCCCAAGCAGTGTGCTCTGGGACCTGGCCCAGGGTCAGCGCCTCCCAAGACATCAGGCGTCCGGATCAACAGGAAGCTGTGACTCGCCCCCTCACCCTCGCACCTGGGCACTGGCTGCCACAAGCTCTCCCGGCCAGCACTGGGCCTGCGCCTCGGATGGGAGGTGGCAGCTCTCCAGCTCGGGGGCCGTTCTCACTCCCGGTGCTGAAGCCTTTCCCAAACACTCCCCAAAGCCACCGGTTTTCAGTCCTTTGATCTGATGAAGACCGGCTGCCAAGCCTCGGGGTGACACCCAACCTACTCTCCCGGGGACGTCACACCTGACCGCAGGGCCAGCGGGGCAAGGGCAGGGGCAGGGGAGGTGCTGGCCGAGGGGCAGTGGGGGTCTGGACAAGGGGCAGTGGGGGGCCGGCCGAGGGGCAGTGGGGGGCCGGTTGAGGGGCAGTGGGGGGCCGGCTGAGGGGCAGTGGGGGTCTGGACGAGGGGCAGTGGGGGGGCCGGCCGAGGGGCAGTGGGGGTCCGGCCGAGGGGCAGTGGGGGGGGCCGGCCGAGGGCAGTGGGGAGGCCGGTCGAGGGGCAGTGGGGGGCCGGCTGAGAGGCAGTGGGGGTCTGGACGAGGGGCAGTGGGGGGCCGGCTGAGAGGCAGTGGGGGTCTGGACGAGGGGCAGTGGGGGGGCCGGCCGAGGGCAGTGGGGAGGCCGGCCGAGGGCAGTGGGGGGCCGGTTGAGGGGCAGTGGGGGGCCGGCTGAGGGGCAGTGGGGGTCTGGACGAGGGGCAGTGGGGGGCCGGCCGAGGGGCAGTGGGGGTCCGGCCGAGGGGCAGTGGGGGGGCCGGCCGAGGGCAGTGGGGAGGCCGGTCGAGGGGCAGTGGGGGGCCGGCTGAGAGGCAGTGGGGGTCTGGACGAGGGGCAGTGGGGGGCCGGCTGAGAGGCAGTGGGGGTCTGGACGAGGGGCAGTGGGGGGCCGGCTGAGGGGCAGTGGGGGGCCGGATGAGGGGCAGTGGGGGGCTGACCGAGGGACAGTGGGGGAGCTGGCCGAGGGGCAGTGGGGGGGGCTGGCGGAGGGGCAGTGGGGGGGGGCCGGCGGAGGGGCAGTGGGGGAGCCAGCTGAGGGGCAGTGGGGGGCCACCCACAGGTCATCCCAGTGCCTCTGTGAACGGGAGTCCCCGCAGACCCAGGGCCTCGGCCCCCCGTGAGGCAAGCCAGGCCCCGAGCCCCTTCCAGAGCCTCTGGAGACACCTTCGGGGGAGAAGGCCTCAAGCCCAAGGCAAGGTCTGCTCATGCCTGGCCAGGGAGCCCCGGGGCCTAGGAGACAGCGCCCACCCTCACGGCTCAGCCGGGAAGCTGGTCCGGGGCCCACCCTGCCTCCTGCTTCACAGCCACGCCAGGCCTGGAGTGACCGCTGTTCAGGTCCAGGCCTCACAGACGGACATGGGGGCGGGGCCTGCACTGCGCATTTAGAGGGGTCAGTTGCCCATGTGTCCGGTCCTCAGGCCCCGCTCTCCAGCCAGGCCGGTGGACACGGCTCCTGTCCCCAGTCGCTGCAGGAACAAGGCCCTGCACCCTCATCTCCCCAAATGCTCCGCCAGTTGAAGCACTTCCCGGCAGAGGACAGAAACTCCGCCCAGCCATTTCCCACCAAGCGAGTGCACTGGAAGAGAGGGACCCCAGGCTCCAGAGGCCCCATGGTGCCAGGCGGAGCCCTGCCAGGACTCAGGACAGGGCCTTCTACACACCCTGAGCTGCCCTGAGATCATGGGGATGATAAATTCTGGGATGCACAGCTCTTACCAGAAATTCAACACATACGCAGGCACATACATGTACAGGCACATACATACACACATGCATACATGCATGCACACACATGCCCATACATGCGGGCATGCACACATGCACATGCATACATGCACACACAGGCATATGCACACACATGTACACACACGTCACATGTCTGCAAGCGGGCATCAACCACAGGCAGGCTGGTGGCATCCACCCCCACCCACCCCACACCTGTGCAAGCTACAGGGATCCCCCAATTCTAGGGGACACTGGGGACTTCCTTGCTGAATGTCACGGCCATAACTGCCCCTCAAGGTCAGGGGTCTCTGCCACTTTACAGCTGGGACATGGAAGCCTCAGTGGCCAGGACCCCAAAGCCCTGCAGGCCTGACCGGGGAAGCAAAGTGTCCAACAGCTCCCGCCCCCAGCCCATCCCTGCCCCTGCATTCAAAGCCTCATGAGATCCCTTATGATAACCTGAGTTCCGCTCTCACGAGCCCGGACAGGCGGCCAGACAAGCACAGCTGCTAGGCTGACACGGCCACGGGGCTCCCGGCCACACCACCTGCCCACGAGGTCCCTGTTGGCACCGGCTGCCTAGTGCAGTGACCCCACCCAGGGAAGGGGGCCCTCAGACCTCTGCTGTCATCGTCCCCACTGCAAGCCTGGGCTGAGACGAGGGCCAGCTGTGAGCCCTGTGTCTGTCCAGCCTCTCAGCATGAGTGGGCAAGGGCTTCACTCCTGTGCCTCAGTTTCTCACCTGAACAAGGACCCTGAGTGTGTTAAGAAGGGACGGCCAAGGTCAGACGCAATGGCTCACACCTGTCATTCCAGAGTTCGAGGCCAAGGCAGAAGGATCTCTTAAGCCCAGGAGTTCACGACCAGCCTGGACAACACAGTGAGACCCCATCTCTACAAGAACGGATGAAAGCAGGAGCACCTGGAACGTCCCAGTGCGCTGCTCCTGGGCAGGCGGCACACGTACAGCAGTTTCCTACGAAAGCAATTTACTGTAATTTCAAGCAACGTTCTGCAACACTGAAGCTGACTTGAGTGAAACACACGGCACCTGCTACGTTAGGCACATGTGGGGCCTCTTCTGGGACGGCCCCGGGCATGTAGGCGCAGGCGGGATGGAGGTGGCAGGCCCGGGTCCAGCCAGCGGGCCCAGCTCACCTGTGGGACTGGAGTGCAGACCCACGTGGGAAGCCCGGCCCAGGGAGACCAGGTGGCCTCGGGGGTCCCAGCTCAGAGAGGGATGTTGGCGTGTAGTGGGAGCAGCCCCAGGCCAGCGAGGGTTCCTGTGGGGGTGGGGGGGCTAAATCCCCTTCAGGAGGGGCCCCCAGACTCCCAAACGAGGCTGGGGCAGTCTTGGTGACTGGCCAGACACCTCTCCCTCCCCCACTGCCGGCCACCAGCACTACCACCCCCTGACACCACCAGACCTTGCCCTGGCCCTCAGGCATGGCACATTACCCCTCAGGCGAGGCCCTCGTCATCCCAGTCCCTGCCCCTCTGCCTGAAGGGGTCAGGAGTGCACCCCCCAACCCCCTGCCGAGATCCCATGTCCAAGACGGCTGCTGACAGCACTCAGGGCTGTAGGGAAAGAAACCGTGGCGGGGGGAGCCTTCCCCAGGGGGAAGGTGAGGCTGAGGAGGGGTCTTCAAAAGTGAGCCTGGGACCTGGCAGGCTGTAGAGCACACAGCTCCCCAGGCCCGTCCGAGCCCCAGGGCCACTGCCTGTCCGCTGTGGCGGAGCCCCTGCTCCCAACCCCCCTGGCAGGGCTGGTCCCCCACTAGGTGATATTTCCTGCTGGGCGGGGAACTCAGGGTGAGGGGTGGTGCCTGGTACCCTCCAGGGGGGTCCTCGGGTCCAGGTGCTCCCCAGAAGGGGGAGGGCAGGTGCCCCAGTGCCCCCCAGCTCCCCCAGCGGGTCCATCCCAGCCACCAGGTGTGTGGCTGACGGTGCCCACGCTGAGCCGGCAGCGGGGAGGCCCAGCCTGGACGGCCCCGAAAGACACGGGAGGTGTTTGCAAGACCTCTGGGGGCGAGTGTGCGTCAACCCCCTGCTGTGAGTGGGTGATAACGGGCGCTGCCTGCAGGATTTTCCACAGAAAGTGAGGCCTGATAAAGCAGGCCCAGATCCTGTTTGGCCACCGCTGTGCCCGCCGGCAGTGGTGATTAACGGGCTGGACCGTGGGGTGCAGGCAGGCATGGCGGGGGAGGGCCCGCCACCCTATATAAGGCACCCAGGACCGGCCATTCAAGCTGCACTGGTGGCAGCAGCAGGCCTGCCCGGCCAGAGCCAACTCTGCCCTGTACGCCATGCTCCAGCGCTGGCTGCTGCTGTGCTTCTGCGGGGCCCTGCTCAGCGCTGGTGAGTGTGGCGGGGGGCACTGGGCACCACAGGGCCCCAGCCGGACCACACAGACGCTGATAGATGGAGGCCCCGCCTCGGCTCAGTGACCCGCCCCCGGGTTCCCCCCGCAGCCTCGGTGCTGGGCTCTGTCATTTGGGGTCAGGGACCCCATGGGTCCTGGACAGGGATGCCCTCCTGTGAGCTGGCAGTGGCCAGTGGGGGGAAGCTTGGATGGAGTGGGTCCAGAGGTCCCACAGGCAGAGTGGGAAGGTGTGTGGGTGCCCAGGCCTGGCGCTCTCTCCCTCCCCTCGGCGTGGTCCTGAGTCTTCAGAGGTCTCTGGAGTGTGGGGGCAGAGGCACAGTCCCTGCTGCCCTGGGCCTCAGGTTCCCAGTCTACAGAAGTGGGGGACGCTGCCTCCCCTGGTAGGGATACTGCCTCCCCTGGTGTAGCCGCTGTGGGGGGAAGGGAAGGGAAGGTGTATGGCCTTCTGGGCTCAGGACCTCAGCGGGCAGGCTGCCCTCTCCCCCGTGCTCCCCACCCAGCTCAGGCAGGACCCAGGAGAGACCACCATCCTGGATTCTCTGCCACCCACCTGCCCTGAGGCTGCCATAGGCAGCCTTCAGTCCTGCCCCTGGCCCCTAAAACGAGCCAGCCCTGAGGGGACCCTCTGTGGCCACAGCCTGAGGCCTGGGTAGACCCTCTTGCCAACCAAGGCACCAGTCCAAGGGTCCCATGCTCCCCCTTCCTCTCTGAGCTGGCCCTGGCCCTCCTCCATAGCCAGGAGCCTCCAGGGGTGGACACTGGCAAGATGGAGCTCACCTCAGAGCTGCTGCCAGCCTGGGGCCTCAGGCTCAGAGTGCAGTGGGACCCCCAGGGGTACCCCACTGCTCCCCCAAGCCCCCCACCCCTTCTCTCCCCAGAAGACCCTTCCCCACCACGCTGGGCAACACCCTTCAACCATGGGGGATGGGGAGGTCTCTGAGCCAGCCCAGCAGTGCCCTCTGCTTGGGACCCCGGCCCCCCCTGCATACCTAGGACAGCTTGGGGATAAGTACCAGGAGTGGGGCTAACCTTGCAGCAGAGCGTGACCCCAGAGCCAGGGAGGGGGTGTGGTGGGATCCAGAGAGCCTGGAGGTCTGAGCTGTGGTCACTGCAGAGAGTGGAGGGCCACGTGGGGGTGTCCGCCCATCACCCCCACAAACGCTCTCTGAATGCTGTCCCAGCCAGCACTGGAGGGGTCTCGGCCAGCAGAGTGTGAGGTCAGACAGCTGGGCGTTGGGCCTGGGCCTCGGTGGGCCGGGAGGCAGCGGTGGGCGGCCGCCAAGGACGCAGAAGGAACAACGTGCACCTGCCGCTTGTCCAGAGGCTGAGACCGGGGGTGGCGGACCAGCCGGCCCAGAGGCCCACGGCCGGCAAGGGACCAGCCGATGGGAAGCACAGCCGGGGCAGGAATGAAGCCTCCCGCCGTGCTCAGACAGTGCTGGGGCAGCAGACTTAGAGCCAGTGGACTTGGGGAGCCTCCTGAGCTGGGGCAGGGCAAGGGCAGTGAGGGTCATAGGGGACACAGCCATGAGGCACCTGCTGCAGTGGGATCCCCCCGAGTGCCACCCCATGTGAAAGGTGCAGGAACTGAGCTGAGGTGTCTGTGTATAGAGGGGATTCCCCCCCTGAGTGCCACCCCATGTGAAAGGTGCAGGAACTGAGCTGAGGTGTCTGTGTATAGAGGGGATTCCCCCCCCAGTGCCACCCCATGTGAAAGGTGCAGGAACTGAGCTGAGGTGTCTGTGTATAGAGGGGATTCCCCCCCTGAGTGCCACCCCATGTGAAAGGTGCAGGAACTGAGCTGAGGTGTCTGTATAGAGGGGATCCCCCCGAGTGCCACCCCATGTGAAAGGTGCAGGAACTGAGCTGAGGTGTCTGTGTATAGAGGGGATTCCCCCCCGAGTGCCACCCCATGTGAAAGGTGCAGGAACTGAGCTGAGGTGTCTGTGTATAGAGGGGATTCCCCCCCCAGTGCCACCCCATGTGAAAGGTGCAGGAACTGAGCTGAGGTGTCTGTATAGAGGGGATCCCCCCGAGTGCCACCCCATGTGAAAGGTGCAGGAACTGAGCTGAGGTGTCTGTGTATAGAGGGGATTCCCCCCCCAGTGCCACCCCATGTGAAAGGTGCAGGAACTGAGCTGAGGTGTCTGTGTATAGAGGGGATTCCCCCCCTGAGTGCCACCCCATGTGAAAGGTGCAGGAACTGAGCTGAGGTGTCTGTGTATAGAGGGGATCCCCCCGAGTGCCACCCCATGTGAAAGGTGCAGGAACTGAGCTGAGGTGTCTGTGTATAGAGGGGATCCCCCCCGAGTGCCACCCCATGTGAAAGGTGGAGGAACAGAGCTGCAGGGGGCCTTGCCCAGGGGAGCCCGGTCACAGCTCTGCAGGCCTCTGAGAAGGGTCTGGAGAGGTCCTGGATCCTGCTCACGTCCCCCACCAGCTCTCGGGCATCAGGGGCCCATGGGGGACACAGATAAGGCCACAGTCCCGGAGCCAGGGGCCAGGGAGTTACCCAGAGGTGGGAGAAGCCTCCCTCTGGGCAAAGGGGGTGGGACCTGGGGGGTGTCAGCCCCACTCCAGCATCCAGGGTCAGGGTGCGGCATCTCCCTCGGCCCTGCCCTGGGGTCACCCTGACCTGGCTGTCTGGACTTTCCTGTGGCAACCATGGCCTCAGTGCCAGAACTGACACCAAGGCTGACAGGCAGGAAAGTGCCCATGTTTAGAGCCCCAGAGCCACTGGGAGCAGGGAAAACTGGCTGTGGGGCCTGGCGTGGACCCCACAGGAAGCAGACCCCTCAGGGACAGCAGGCGGGCAAGCTGGGGAGGTGGGCACAGCCCACTGTCAGCTCAGCTCTCAAGCCCCTGCCACACACACCAGCCCCTCCTTGCCCTGCCTAGGAGGCCCTAGCCGTGAGTGCCCTGTACAGGGTGCCCGTCATCTGCCGAACCCCGAGGGTGTGACGGCACAGGCTGAACTGGGGATCAGCGGACGAATGAGGAAGTGAACAGGAGCAGGGCAGGAAGCTGGGGCGCATGAAGGACGACAGGGGAGGCCAAGTGCTTGGCCTGCTGTTGAAGCCTTGAGCCCCGCACCAACTGCGGGTCCCGTCCTCACAGGTCTGCCCGATGCGTATGCCAGCCCAGGCCCCCAGAGGCCGAAGGACTCTCCACAGACAGGTAAGAGCACAGCAGCCACTGACCCTGCACACAGACCACCCACCAACCAGGCCCAGTGTGCAGGAGAGAGGGACCCGGAGTCCAGGCCACCCCCAAGACACACCCTACACACACACACACACACACACACAAAAAAAAAAAAAACCCAACACACAACCCTACACACACACACACAACCCAACACACACACACACACAACTCAACACACACACACACCCAACCCAACACACACACACCCAACCCAACATACACACACAACCCAACACACACAGAGAACCCAACACACACACAAAACCCAACACACACACACACAAAACCCAACACACACACACACAAAAAAAAACACACAACCCTACACACACACACAACCCAACACACACACACAACCCAACACACACACACACCCAACCCAACACACACACACCCAACCCAACATACACACACAACCCAACACACAGAGAACCCAACACACACATACACACAAAACCCAACACACACACACAGAACCCAACACACACACATACACAAAACCCAATACACACACACAACCCAACACACACACACATACACACACACATACATGCTGCCCAGACCACCCAGGCTCAGTCTGCAGGAGAAAGGGACCCAGAGTCCAGGCCACCCCAAGACACACCCTACACACACACACACACACAAAAAAAACCAACACACAACTCTACACACACACACAATCCAACACACACAACCCAACACACACAGAGAACCCAACACACACATACACACAAAACCCAACACGCACACATACACAAAACCCAACACACACACACACAACCACACACACACAACTGAAAACACATACACACACAACCCAACACACACACACACACAAAACCCAACACACACACACACATACACACACACATACATGCTGCCCAGACCACCCAGGCCCAGTCTGCAGGAGAAAGGGACCCAGAGTCCAGGCCACCCCCAAGAGACACACACCCAACCCACACACACACACAACCTAACACAGACACAACCCAACACACACACATACATACACACATGCTGCCCAAACCACCCAGGCCCGGTCTGCAGGAGAGAGGGACCCAGAGTCCAGGCCACCCCCAAGACACACAGAACCCAACACATACACACACACACACACAACCCAACACATAGGACCAGCACACATAAACCTGACATACACATGCACACACACCCAACACAGCCCAATACACACTGGACACACACCCAACACCCATGCACACACATCTAGCACACACATCCCAGATATGTACACATATGCACGACATACACATGCACACATTCCCAACACACGCTACACACACATGCACCCCATATACACACCCTACACACACAGCTGATACACAAACCCATCACACACACACGTCACACACACCCAACACACACATACACATTGTATACATCTACACAGGCCCACACACACCCCCAATGCCCACAGACATGCCTCACACACACGTATGCACACCCAAAACACACCTATGTGTACACACACAACACACACGTGTACACCCTGCACATACACAGGTGTTTACACATATATGTACACATGCACACGCACACACGTGTACATGTGCCCACGGTGGAGCTGACTCGCATATGCCACACCACTTGTGTTCACTCGGATGCCCATGTCTGGGGTTCCCACAGCCTGGCCCCAACTTAGAACCCTGGCCAGGGAGATGCGTGAGCTCTGCCCTGTCCTAGCCCTGCCCTAGCTCTGCCCTGCCCTGCCCTAGCTCTGCCCTGCCCTGTCCTAGCAGTGCCTGGCCAGGCTGGTGGGGACCCCGGGCTCTGAGTCGGCCCCGCTCTCTCCGCAGCCCTGGACAAAGGCCGCTGCTCCACATGGGGGCTCGGGCACTTCTCCACCTTCGACCACCATGTGTATGACTTCTCGGGGACGTGTAACTACATCTTTGCGGCCACCTGCAAGGACACCTTCCCCACCTTCAGCATCCAGCTGCGGCGAGGCCCAGATGGAAGCATCACGCGGATCATCGTGGAGCTGGGGGCCTCCGTCGTCACCGTGAGCAAAGGCACCATCTCAGTCAAGGACATCGGGTAGGCCAGGCGGGCTGGAACCCAGGTCCCAGGGGTCGGGGCCGGAGGATAGAGGGATGAGCACCAACGGCCCTGGCCCCACAGGGTCATCAGCCCGCCCTACACGAGCAACGGGCTCCAGATCACACCCTTTGGGCAGAGCGTGCGGCTGGTGGCCAAGCAGCTGGAGCTGGAGCTGGAGGTCATGTGGGGCCCGGACGCCCACCTCATGGTGAGGACGGGGGGCCAGGGTGAACCTGGGGCCCGCAACACTGGGGGGCAGGTGGGACTCAGGAGGGGCTGCCCTCCTCGGGAGTCCCGGCCAGCCCTGGGCAGCCAGGCACTGCACGCCAAGCTGTGGACCCCTGGCCAGCAACCTGAGCCAGGACTGGGTTTTGTGGGTGACTCAGCTTCCCCACTGGAAAGTTAGGCTCCCATGAGAAGAGGCAGGTTCAAGAGGCAGCACCTGCAGACGAGCAGGGTGGGGGATGGCAGGGGCTCTGGGTCCAGGAGCAGGAGTTGAGAGCCCTCCACAGCGGACGAGGTCCCCTGGCCCCGGCACCCAGCAGAGCTGCCTCCCACAGGTCCTGGTGGAGCAGAAGTACATGGGCCAGATGTGTGGACTCTGCGGGAACTTTGATGGGAAGGTGACCAACGAGTTCGTCAGTGAGGAGGGTAGGTGGGGGGCAGGGCTGGGAGGCCTTTAGGTGGGGGGAGCCCCTGGGGCCCAACCCCCACAGTGCTGACCCCTGTCCTGCACCCCCAGGCAAGCTCCTGGAACCCCACAAGTTTGCTGCCCTCCAGAAACTGGACGACCCGAGCGAGATCTGTGCCTTCGAGGCCATCCCCAGCCCCCCGGTCCGGCAGGCCCAGCACGTAAGTGAGGGGGCTCCAGGGGGGCTCACCCCGGGTCTGACAAGCTCTCCAAGGCCACCAAGGGCCCCCACGAGCAGCCCCATCACAGACAGCCTGTCCCAACCTACTGGGCATGGTGGCATGGGGTGTGGCCTTTGCCCCTGTGACCCCGAGTGGCCCCCAGGCCCAGATCTGCACCCAGCTTGTGACCTTGGTGGCCCCTGAGTGCAGCGTGCCCAAGGAGCCCTTCGTGATGAGCTGCCAGGCAGACATGGTGGCCACCCAGCCAGGCCCGGGGAACAGCAGCTGCGCCACACTCTCTGAGTACTCCCGCCAGTGCAGCATGGAGCAGCAGCCCGTCCGCCGCTGGCGGGGCCCCAGCCTCTGCCGTGAGTTCTGGGAAGGGCTTGGGGACAGCAAGGCCAAGGGCTGCAGATCCAGCTCTCCCGGCCCCAGAACCGCCTGACAAGACGCCAACATCCCCCTCGTCTGAGAGACAGGAGATCCTGGCGGCAGCTTCTGGATGGAGGAGGGGCTGGGCTAAGTCCTCTCCCCGGCTAGGGTGGGGCGGGGAGGGGCAGGGCAGGTGGGACCCTCTCACCGGAGCCGCATGTGCCCACAGCCGTGGGTCAGTGCCCGGCCAACCAGGTGTACCAGGAGTGCGGCTCGGCCTGCGTGAAGACCTGTTCCAATCCCCAGCACAGCTGCTCCAGCACCTGCACCTTCGGCTGCTTCTGCCCGGAAGGTGAGGGCGGTGGAGGCACTCACTCCCCCCGGGACCCCTGGAGAGATCCTGGGGACAAGGGGGCGTCAGACCTCACCCACCCCAACTGGCCTCACCCCAACATTCTGCCGTCTGAGTCCTAGCTCCAGGAGCCCTCTTGCCTTGGGTGGGCCCCTCCCCTCCCCCTCCCCTCCCCCTCCCTTCCCCCACACTCCCCCACCCCTCCACTGCCCCCTCCACTCCCCCCACACTCCTCCTCCCCCTCCACCCCCCTCCCCCTCCACTCCCCCTCCCCCTCCACCCCCTCTCCCCCTCCATCCCCTCTCCCCCTCCACTCCTCCCCCTTCCTCCCTCTCCTCCACTCCCCCATCCCCTCCCTCCTCCTCCCCCCACACGCCCCCTCCCCCCACACTCCCCCTCCCCACGCTCGCCATGCTTCCAGCTGGCAGCTCTCCCAGCCACCACCACCCTGCAAACCACATGCAGGGGGGTCTCGCCCACTGGGGTCTGGGAGCCCCTAAGAGAAGGTGGGGTTTGAGCTGGGCCCAAGGGACAGGTATGTGTATCCGCCTGCTGGGGGCCACCACTCACCAGGAACCCTGGCTGGGCACGTTGGTGCAAGGGGCTGGGCACACACAGTGTCTGGCACAGAGACGTACAGGCAAGTGCAGCTGGAGTGAGACGCCATGGACAGGCTGGGGGGCATCTCCCCGAAACCAGGGAGAGTGGGAGGCCGTCAGTCCCACCAAGCCCCAAGAAGCCCCTCTCCTGCAGGGACAGTCCTGAACGACCTCTCCAATAACCACACCTGCGTGCCTGTCACCCAGTGCCCCTGTGTGCTCAACGGTGCCACGTATGCCCCTGGGGCAGTCACGACAGCTGCCTGCCGAACCTGGTGAGGTGGTGGAAGGGAGGCAGTGAAGAGTGGGGGAGGCAGTGAAGAGGGGAGGTGGCAGGGGGGGAGGAGGTGGAGGGGGAGGTGGCCAAGGGGGGAGGCTGCCAAGCAGGGAGGCAGCAGAGGAGGCTCTGGAGGCTGGTAGGAGTTCCACTGGCCCAGGATGGGGGAGGGGTGCTGTCTGGCTCCAGTGGCTCACCCTGCCCACCACGTGGTCCCCCCCACGCCCACCCACAGCCAGTGCACCCTGGGCCGCTGGGCGTGCACGGAGCGGCCGTGCCCCGGCCACTGCTCCCTGGAAGGCAGCTCCTTTGTCACCACATTCGACGCCAGGCCCTACCGCTTCCATGGCACCTGCACCTACATCCTCCTCCAGGTAGCCCTGTGGCCCGTGGGAAGGGGCACCCCCAGTGACCCCACCTGTGGCTGAGCCCCGCCTGCCCACACAGAGCCCCCAGCTTCCCGAAGACGGCACCCTCATGGCCGTATACGACAAGTCCGGCTTCTCGCACTCCGAGACCTCCCTGGTGGCTGTCGTCTACCTCTCCAGGCAGGTGAGGCCTCTCCCGCACCCGTCCCTGCCAGCAGGGCTCTGCTCCCTGGTGCCCGAGCCTGACTCAGGCCACCTTCCCTCCAGGACAAAATCGTGATCTCTCAGGACGAGGTTGTCAGCAACAACGGAGGCGCCAAGTGGCTGCCCTACAGGACTCGTAGGTCCCAGCCCAGTCCCTGCCCCCAGAGCCAAGCCTCCGGGGTGGGCCACCGCGGGCGGGGAGGGCCAGGGGGCTGCTGAGTGCTGCGTTCTGCAGGCAACATCACGGTCTTCAGGCAGTCGTCCACCCACCTCCAAATGGCCACCAGCTTCGGGCTGGAGCTTGTGGTGCAGCTGCGCCCCGTCTTCCAGGCTTACATCACTGTCGGGCCCCAGTTCAGAGGCAAGACCAGAGGTGAGTCCCTGCCCCTCCGGGTGGCCCTGGTGCCTCGTCCCTACGGGGCCTGGCCAGAGAGGCTCACGCGACGTCTGTGTCCGGGGAGCCCCAGGGGTAACAGGCACGTGTGGCCTGCACCGGCGCTCACCCAGGGCGAGGTTACAAGAGGGTTGGGAGCTCTGGGCCTGGGGGCCGGAATGGGTGCAGGAGGGACAGCTCACACGTGCTCACGGCCTGCCGGCTCAGGACTCTGTGGCAACTTCAACGGGGACACGACAGATGACTTCACCACCAGCCTGGGCATCCCTGAGGGCACCGCCTCGCTGTTTGTGGACTCCTGGCGGGCAGGGAACTGTCCAGCTGCTCTGGAGCGTGAGACTGACCCCTGCTCCATGAGCCAGCTCAACAGTGAGTGTCTGGCCTCCCACTCCCCCAGCTGCCCCCCAGACCCCATGGCTCTGACAGACCCCTGGACTGGACCACAGACCCAGCCACCAGGGAGGAGGGGGGGTCCCTGGGAGGAGCCATGGCTGGAATGGGGAGGGGTGGAGACCCATGCCCCGGCCGGTCGTCCCCAGAGGTGTGTGCGGAAACCCACTGCTCCGTCCTGCTGAGGATGGGCACAGTGTTCGAGAGGTGCCACGCCACGGTGAACCCCACGCCCTTCTACAAGGTGAGGGCCTGAGGGCGTCTGTGAGGGCTGCGGGGGAAGCCTCAGCAGAGACTGACAGTCAGGCACCTAGGGGCATCCTGGCCCTGGTGGGAGGTTTGGGGCCCCAACGTCCCCAGGGGAGGGTGCCTGCTGCCAGCCCATGCCGGCTTTCTGCCCGCAGAGGTGTGTATATCAGGCCTGCAACTACGAGGAGACCTTCCCCCACATCTGCGCCGCCCTGGGAGACTATGTTCACGCCTGCTCCTCGCGGGGCGTCCTGCTCTGGGGCTGGAGAAGCAGCGTGGAGAACTGCAGTGAGCACCCGGTGGGGCTGGAGCGGGGTCACAGTGGGCAGGGGTCATGGCAGGGGTCCTGGGGCCCCAGGCAGGCAGCAGAACCCAAGGCATCCTCCCCCGCCACCTCCTCCCTGAGGGTCTGATGCAGGCATCCCCCGCAGCCATCCCCTGCACGGGCAACAGCACCTTCAGCTACCACAGCCAAGCCTGTGAGCGCACCTGCCTGTCGCTGTCCGACCGCGCTGCTGAGTGCCACGCCAGCGCAGTGCCTGTGGATGGCTGCAACTGCCCCGACGGCACCTATCTGAACCACAAGGGCGAGTGTGTGCACAAGGCCCAGTGCCCCTGCACGCTGGAGGGCTACAAGTTCATCCTGGCCCAGCAGGCCACCGTGATCAATGGTGCCACCTGGTGAGGGGCGAACAGGGGCCGGGGGCATGAGGGGGGCCAGGCGGGGGTCCCCCCCGGGCCGCGGGATCATGTGGCCTCTCTCTTACAGCTACTGCACCAATGGGCGGCTGAGTTGCCCACAGCGGCCACAGATGTTTCTGGGTACGTAAGGCAGCGCGGGCTGCAGGCTGGGACCGTGAGGACCTTACTTCCTCTGAGAGTCCTGACCGGCCCCCCTCCCCGCAGCCTCCTGTCCGACCCCCAAGACCTTCGAGTCCTGCAGCCAGTCCTCCGAAAACAAGTTCGGGGCGGCCTGTGCCCCCACGTGCCAGATGCTGGCCACCGGTGTCACCTGTGTAAGGGTCGTGTAGGATGGGGCACAACGCCCGGACCAGCTGGGCCGAGAGAGGGTTTCCATGAAACCCTGGAGACCTGGCCTCACTCTGCCCCTGTGGCGGGTGCCTGGGGTCAGCAGGGAGGCGGGAGCGGCTCCGTGGCCGGGCAGCTGGATGCTGGTGGACAGTGGGCCGGTGCCAGCTTGGGGAGGGTGGGCTGCCACTGTGGAGGTGGGTACAGTAGCCCAGCCGTGTGCATAGGGGCCCAGGACCTTCCACAAGGTGGGGGAAGCTTTGCGAATGGAGGAAGCCCAGCTGCCCACAAACGCTGCAGAGCAAAGGTGTACTCGAGGAGAGGGCCTGGGAGACACGCCGGGAGGACTCGGAGGGGCCCAGGGCTGGGCAACAGCACCTGAGGCCACCCTCCCAGGGGCTGCTGACCTGCCTCCCTGCAGGTGCCTACCAAGTGTGAGCCTGGTTGTGTCTGCGCCAAGGGCCTCTACGAGAATGCCGACGGGCAGTGTGTGCCTCCCGAGGAGTGCCCGTGTGAGTTCTCGGGGGTCTCCTACCCTGGGGGAGCTGAGCTGCACACCGACTGCAGGACCTGGTGAGACACAGCCTTGCTCTGGACGCTCTGGGCTCCTGGGGCCATGTGGGGCAGGCGGGGCCGTCCGGGGTGGGGCTGGCTGTCCCGCAGGCAGGGGCGTCCAGAGGTGCAGCCTGGCCTCTCCAGGGACCACATCCAATACCACCCACACCTGCTGCCTCCACAGCACCTGCTCAAGTGGGAGGTGGGCCTGCCAACAGGCCGCCCACTGCCCGTCCACCTGCACCCTCTATGGGGAGGGCCACATCGTCACCTTCGACGGCCAGCGCTTTGTATTTGACGGCAGCTGCGAGTATCTCCTGGCCACGGTAACCGCCGGGCTCGGGCTGCGGGGGCCGGGGACCCAGGGGCACAGCACGGCCCCCAGTGCTCCACCTCAGCACCTTCTCCCTGCAGGATGGCTGTGGTGCCAATGACTCCCAGCCCACCTTCAAGATCCTGACGGAGAACGTGGTCTGTGGGAAGGCTGGGGTCACCTGCTCTCGGGCCATCAAGCTCTTCCTGGGGGTGAGCGGCCAGCAGACTCCAGCAGGGCAGGAGGGGTGGTGGGGGCCCTGCCACGAAGCTGGACCCTGCCCACTGGAGCCCCCAGGTCCTGCCCCAAAGGGCAACCCGCCACCTGCCTCTCCTTGAGGGGTGCCTGCTGCCCCTCCCTGGCCAGACGCTCAGGACCGAGGGGCTTGTCTCCCACCAGGTTTCAGGGGCTGCAGAGTGTCTCCCGGGCAGAGGGGAGGGAAGGATTCTCCAGGAATCCCAAGCTTCAGCCCTCAGCCCCGTTTCCCTTCTGCCCCGAGCTGGCTCTCAGCAGGCACCCTCAGGCGTGGCCATAACAGACCCGGGCAGCTCTGCCTCCAAGAGCTTGGTCCAGGCTGTGCCGGGGAGGCAGGGCAGACACAGGCCGCCCCATGACATCTCCCCCACAGGGCCTGTCCGTCGTGCTGGCGGACAGAAACTACACAGTCTCCGGGGAGGAGCCGCATGTGCAGCTCCGGGTGAGGCCGGACGCTCTGAGCCTTGCCGTGGACGTCGGCGTCCCCGGGAGGTACAACCTGACACTCATCTGGAACAGGCACATGACCATCCTCATCAGGATCGCCCGAGCCTCTCAGGTACCACATGGCTCAGTGCCCACCCAGGCCTGGCCTGACACAGGGGTGGAGACGATGCCGCAGGCCTGGGGCCCGGCCTGACGCCGCTGCCTGCAGGACGCCATCTGCGGCTTGTGCGGCAACTTCAACGGAAACATGAAGGACGACTTCGAGACACGCAGCCAGTACGTGGCATCCAGCGAGCTGGAGTTTGTGAACTCGTGGAAGGAGAGCCCGCTGTGCGGGGACGTGAGCTTCGTGGCAGACCCCTGCAGCCTCAACGCCTTCCGGCGCTCCTGGGCTGAGCGCAAGTGCAGTATCATCAACAGCCAGACCTTCGCCGCCTGCCACAGCAAGGTGGGCGCCGGGCATGGGCCGCACGCCGGCCCCTCCACAAATGTCCAGCGGGGGCGGGGGTGGGGACCAGACCCTGTCCTGGCTCACAGTAGGGAAGCCCGGCACGGGGATCCCAGACCTGCCAGGGCTGGGCACAGAGAGCTCCAGACCCTCTGCCTGCGCTCAGGGGCCTGATGTGGGGACCGAGTTGTACGCCGTGGCAGTTTAGCAACACCCCAGACAATGCCATGTGCCTCCTGGGGCAGTGTCGCTGGGTGGGCCCCCTGCTCGGGAGCTGGTGGTCAGAACACGCTTCCTGACCTGGTGCGCAGCTGGGGGAGGGGGAGGGGAGGGTGGGGGGTGGGGGGCAGTAGGAGCTGAGAGTATGGGGCACCTGGCAGCGCAACAGCCTGGCCCCCGCTGCTGAACGAAAGCGTGGTGTGGGGGGAGCGGACCCTGGGTGGGGCCGCGGTGGCCATGGTCAGCAGCACCTCAGTCCAGATGGGGGGGTCTCAGGGCACACACGCAGGTCAGGCCTTTGTGTTGGCATCGGCTTTGGGAGGGCGGCTGGCGGTCGGGGTCAGTGCTGAGGTCCACAAGGAGTTGCTCACCCAGTGCCAGCGCCCTTGCCACCACATCCGGCCTCACCACACTGAGGGTCCCTCGGGCAGCAAAGCCTGGTGCCCAGCCGTCTCCCTCAGCCAGATGCTGTCGGGCACACACCCCACAGGTGTACCACCTGCCCTACTACGAGGCCTGCGTGCGCGACGCATGCGGGTGTGACAGCGGCGGAGACTGTGAGTGTCTGTGCGACGCCGTGGCTGCCTACGCCCAAGCCTGCCTGGACAAGGGCGTGTGCGTGGACTGGAGGACCCCGGCCTTCTGCCGTGAGTGATCGTACCACCCAGCACCACTGAGGCCGGGCGCAGGGCTCGCCCACAGGCCCCTCTCCCTGGACAGGCGCCAAGCTGTGCCCTGCAGGGCCACCCTCCACCTCCCCCAGCCCCCAGCTGCCCAGGGGAGGCTTCATCAAGAAGGCCCAGGCCTTCCCCACCCACACTCAGGTTCCACGCACGCCCAGGGAACCACCAGGTCAGGGCCAGGGCTGGGAACCCCGCCAGCTGACAGCTGCCTTCCTCCCAGCCATCTACTGCGGCTTCTACAACACCCACACGCAGGACGGCCACGGCGAGTACCAGTACACGGAGGAGGCCAACTGCACATGGCACTACCAGCCCTGCCTCTGCCCCGGCCGGCCACAGAGCGTCCCAGGCAGCAACGTCGAAGGTGCCAGGTGGCGGGGAGGCAGCACAGATGCGCAGGGGACCCCTTCACTCATTCACACTCATGCACTCATTCACACATTCATTCAGGCATTCATTCATGTTCAAACACGTTCACATTCATTTGCAAACACTCATTCACACATTTCCATCCGCACATTCACTCACATGCACTCACGCAGATTCACACCTGCATTTACGCACATTCATTCACACATACACATTCACTCCTGCACGTCCCTTCACTCACACATTCATCTTTCACACACACAGTCATTCACTCGCTCAGAGACGCGTCTGGAGCACCTCTGTCCCCCAGGCCGGTTCCTGGGGACCCGGCCTTACGAAAAACACAGCCCTGCACCCTGGAGCTTCCCTCCCAGCCAGGGAGCGGCGCCCAAGGAGACAGACCCAGTGTCAGCTGAGGCACCCACCACAGGGTGGTTGGGGCCCTTGGTGGGAGGCAGATGTGTGGGGGAGGATGTGAAAGGTGAGGAGGAGGAGCCACGAGGGTGTCCAGAGGAGCTGCCAGGACCCTTGAGAAAGCCAGGGCAGCGGGCAGAGCAATCGAGGGAGGGGCATGGGGCTGCAGAGGGGTGTAGGGTACAGAGGGGTGTGGGGTGGGGCGTGGCCAGGATGCAGGGGTCTCTGTGAGGCCTGTGGTTGCCCCGAGGCAGAGGTTGAGTGCGGACGGTCCTGGGATTCACAGGCGCTGGCCCACACACTTGGTGGAGGAAGGTGGTGTGTGGAGCCATCCAGACGGGCAGGGGCAGACATGCTGGGCTCAGGAGGGCAGTGCAAGGCCCCTGCCTCGGGCAGCACGTCCAGGCATCATGGAGCACAGGAGAGGGGCGGTGTCTGAGGTCCAGGGAGAGGCAAGGACTGGAAGACAGCTCTGAAGCCCCAGCCCTGGGTGATGAGCAGCGGGTGAGGGACCAAGGCCTGAGGGAGGCATGGCGTGAAAGGTGTGGCTTAGAGCAAGGCTTGAGGGGTGAAACTGTCATCCCAGTACTCTGGGAGGCTGAGGCAGGCAGATCACCTGAGGTCAGGAGTTCAAGACCAGCCTGGCCAACATGGCAAAGCCCCACCACTACTAAAAGTACAAAAATTAGCTGGGCATCATGGCACGCGCCTGTAATCACAGCTACTCAGGAGGCTGAGGCAGGAGAATCACTTGAACCCGGGAGGCAGAGGTTGCAGTGAGCTGAGATCACACCACTGCACTGCAGCCTGGGCAATGGAGCGAGACTCCGTCTTAAAAGAAAACAAACAAAAAAGGCAGAGAGAAAGGAGGCCACCAGGGCAGGAGACACGCAGGCCACCAGGGCAGGAGACACGCAGGCCACCAGGGCAGGAGACACGCAGGCCACCAGGACAGGAGACACGCAGGCCACCAGGGCAGGAGACACGCAGGCCACCAGGACAGGAGACACGCAGGTGCGCCTGGCTGGCCACAGGTCCACAGAGCCTGGCCGTTCTCCACTCTAGGCTGCTACAACTGCTCCCAGGATGAGTACTTCGACCACGAGGAGGGCGTGTGCATGCCATGCGGTAAGTCCAGGCTGCTTCCCTGAGAACCCCTGCCCTGCACACAAGCAGGAGGCACGTCCGCACCTCACAAGCAAGGCAGAGGGCCCCGGCGCTGGGAGCCTTTCCGTGAGCTTTGGGACTCTGCTGCCTGGAACCCTGGCCCCTTCGGGTGCTGAGACTCCCAGAGACTCAGGCAGCCCCAGCCCATGGAGCAGACGAAGGGAAAATCACAGCATTGAACCCAATTGGGCCCTCCCGTCCCCTCTTCCACCAGTCCCCCAGCTCCCCTTACCCTCACCAGGCCTGCAGGGTGCCAGGGGGTAGAGGGGATCGTCCTGGGAAGTGGAAGGGGAGAGAGGGGAAAGGGGTGCTCCCAGCCCCTCCCATCCCCTCCACCCCGGCCTTGGCGAGCATCTCTGACTCAGGTCCTCGGAGCTCCCGAGGCCCCAAGGGGTGGGGAGGCCGTGAGTGCCACAAGGAGCTGACCCCCTCTTCTTGCAGTGCCACCCACCACACCGCAGCCGCCCATCACAGGTGATTGCATGCACACTAGGTGCCAAGGTGATGCAGACCCTTTCCTGGGCTCCCCCTGGCTACCGGGACAAATCTGTAGGGTGGGAAGCAGGGAGGGGGCAGGGGGCACTGCGTCCTTCCCGGGTCTAACCTGGCAATCAGAGCGGGGGCGGTGGGGGAAGCTCAGCCCACAGCCAGCCCGGTCCCCGTGGCCCAGGCTGGACCCACAGGCGAGCACACAGTGGTGACCCCGGCCATGCAGAAGGCCCAGCCAGGAGCCATGCTGCACTCAGAGGCCACAAGCCAGCCCTGAACCGCGTGCCCAGCACATTGGCCCTGTGAGGCTCCCCGGCTTCAGGGTCCAGCAGGCAGGGGGGAGATTGCTCCCCAAAGATGCACTGGTGCCCTACAGCCCTGAAGGCGGGTCTGCCCCACTCAGGCTCACGACCCACACAAGTCTGGCCCACGATGGGAGCCACGACCATCAGACTCCTCAGCTCCACTGGACCCACACCCAGCTCCAAAAGCACCACTGCTGGCCCCACCCAGACACCCCTCGTCCCAGCCACACTCACGCCCTCCAAGCCCACGGCCTCCTCGGGAGGTAAGGAGCCTCTGGCTGAGCCCGTGGAAAGGGCAGCTGCAGGGGGGTCCTTGGCATGCCTCTAGGGTGGGTGCACATGTGGCCCCGCCTCCCAGCTAAGCAGACTTTCAGTGCAGAATTTCCTATGCTTGGGAGAAAAATGGAATTTTTCTGAAAAAGTTTTAAAGACAAGCTTCTCACTGCAAGGGGCCATTCCGTGATGCCAGATGCTGTCACTGGAAATCCTGTGGGACTTGCGTGGCCTCTGCCAGGCAGCCTGCCCCCCAACAATGAGCAGGACCCCATCCACCACCCAGGGACCCCAGAGTGGAGAGGAAATAGTCCGCTAAGCTGAGCAGGGGTGGGCATGGGGCAGCCACAGTCCCATGAGGGTGTGGTCACTGCCTGGCTCTGGCCACCACAGCCAGGAGAACAGCGAGAAGGCCTAACAAAGGCAAGAGGAGCCCCTCCAAGGAGGCTGAGTCCCAGAGAGCAGGCCAGGGACCCCAGGCACAAGGCAGGGGGCTGGGACACGAGCCTCGGAGATACAGACCCAAAGCAAGGGGCTGTTCCGGGTGGCTGTCCTCTGCAGAACCACTGAGACCGACCACAGCCATCACCCCTCAAGCCACATCAGGGCAGACTCCCACAGCCACGCTGAGGTCGACAGCCACAAAACCCGCTGTGACCCAGGCCACGACCTGGGCCACGGCATCCACCACCAGCCCAGCCACAAAGTCCACAGCTCAGTCCACGACACGAACCACAGCGACACCACCAATACCAGCAACATCAGGGACAAGCCCCACGCTGGGTAAGTCACGGTGCCATGGGACGTCAGCGCTCCTGAATGCTCCCAGTCCCACCTCCAGCTTGCATTCAGTGATTCAGCCACAAAGGAGACCCTGTACTTCACAGAGGGCAAGAGGGAGGCAGCGCCAGTGTGCAGGCCGGAGCTGGAGGCAAGGGAGGGATACCAGCACCCACAGAGGCAGACCTGTGGAGTAAAGGTGCAGGAGGGCAGGGGCCACCACCAGAGCTACAGGGAGCCACAGTGAAAGCAAGTGTGGCCCGGGCTGCAGTCCCAGAGCAGAGGCTGCACTGAGGGTGATGACACTGAGCTGAGAGCAGGACACGGAGACACGCGCAGGCTGGAGGGCTCAGGAGGGGCCACTTCACAGAACCAGAGGCAGAGACAGGCCAGAAAACGTCACACGGATAAAGGAACAGTCCAGCAGAGGTCAGGGTACAGAAACAAAGACAAGAATGATGACAGCTTCACCAATTCCCACAGCAAAATCCACCCATCAGGAACTGCCAGGCACAACGGCCACTCAGACAACAGGCCCACATCCAACCGCAGCCAGCACCACAAGCCCAACCACCCCACGGCCAGAACAACCCACGAGGCCCACAGCCACGAAGAGGACAACGCACACAAGAACAACTACAGAAGACGCAACGCCACAAATGCCACACACCACTCACTCCACAGCTACAGGTGGCAGTCCCGCCTCTTCCACTGGTCCTATGACTGCAGCATCCTTCAAGACCACTGCTACACATCCAACCCCACCACACCCTCACACCACACTTCCCACTCACGTTCCACCTTTCTCCACCTCCTCAGTGACTCCAAGTACGAACAAGATCATCACTTCTACCCACCCACCGACATCCATTTCCCCCTCCATCCACTCAACCCCCACAGGCACCATGCCAGTACCCACAACAGTCAAGGTCACAGGGACCACACACACAGCCCCACCAATCACGGCCACCACCAGTGGGACCAGCCAAGCCCACAGCTCATTCAGCACAGCCACAACCTCTACATCCCTCAGCTCACACGCTTCCTCCACACACCGTCCTGAAACCACCCCAACTTCTTCCACCACCGTTACTCCCAAGACCACCAGCAGAGGAACTGGCACCCCTGTGGCCACCACCACCTCAGCCACCAAAAGCCAGCCACCCACACCCCTCACTACACACTCCCCACCTATAGACGGCAGTCCTGTCTCTTCCACTGGTCCTATGACTGCAACATCCTTCAAGACCACGACTACACATCCAACCCCGCCACACCCTGAGACCACACTTTCAACTCACGTTCCACCTTTCTCCACCTCCTCAGGGACTCTCAGTACTCACACAGTCATCATCCATACACACCCACCAACGTCCACTTCCCCCTCCATCCACTCAACCCCCACAGGCACTATTCCTCCACAGACAACGGTTAAGGCCACAGGATCCACGTACACAGCCCTACCAATCACGGCCACCACAAGTGGGACCAGCCAAGCCCACAGCTCATTCAGCACAGCCAAAACCTCCACATCCCTCAGCTCACATGCTTCCTCCACACACCATCCTGAAACCACCCCAGCTTCTTCCACCACCATTACTCCCAAGACCACCAGTAGAGGCACTGGCACCCCTGTGGCCACCACCTCAGCCACCAAAAGCCAGCCACCCACACCCCTTACCACACACTCCCCACCTACAGGCAGCAATCCTGTCTCTTCCACTGGTCCTATGACTGCAACATCCTTCAAGACCACGACTACCCATCCAACCACACCACACCCTGAAACCACACTTTCCACTCACATTCCACATTTCTCCACCTCCTCAGTGACTCCCAGTACTCACACAGTCATCACTCCTACACACCCACAAATGTCTACTTCCCCCTCTATCCACTCAACCCCCACAGGCACCATGCCTCCACAGACAACGGACAGAGCCACAGGGTCCACACACACAGCCCCTCCAATGACAGCCACCACCAGTGGGACCAGCCAAGCCCACAGCTCATTCAGCACAGCCACAACCTCTATATCCCTCCACTCACAGGCATCCTCCACACACTATCCTGAAACCACCCCAATTCCTACCACCACCAGTACTCCAAAGGCCACTGGTACAGGACCCAGCACCCCTGTGGCCCACAGCACCTCGGCCACCAGCCCCAGGCCACCCACACCCTTCACCACACACTCCCCACCTACAGGGAGCAATCCCATCTCTTCCACTGGTCCTACGACTACAACCTCCTTCAAGACCACCACAATCCATTCAACTCCACCACACTCTCAGACCACACTTCCCACTCAGGTTCCACCGTTCTCCACATCTTCAGTGACTCCCAGAACTCACACGATCATCACCACTACCTACCCACCAATGTCCACTTCCCCCTCCATCCACTCAACCCCCACAGGCACCGTGCCAGTACCCACAACGGTCAAGGTCACAGGGACCACACACACAGCCCCACCAATCACGGCCACCACCAGTGTGACCAGCCACGCCCACAGCTCATTCAGCACAGCCACAACCTCCACATCCCTCAGCTCACATGCTTCCTCCACACACCATCCTGAAACCGCCCCAACTTCTACCACCAGCATTATTCCAAAGCCCACTGGTACAGGAACCAGCACCCTTGTGGCCCACAGCACCTCAGCCACCAGCAACAGGCCAGCCACGCCCATCACGACACACTCCCCACCTACGGGGAACAGTCCTGTCTCTTCCGCTGGTCCTATAACTGCAACATCCTTCAAGACCACGACTACACATGCAACCCCACCACACCCTGAGACCACACTTTCCACTCACGTTCCACCTTTCTCCACCTCCTCAGGGACTCCCAGTAGTCACACAGTCATCACCCATACACACCCACCAATGTCCACTTCCCCCTCCACCCATTCAATCCCCACAGGCACTATTCCTCCACAGACAACGGTCAGAGCCACAGGATCCACACACACAGCCACACCAGTGACAGGCACCACAAGTGGGACCAGCCAAGCCCACAGCTCATTCAGCACAGACACAATGTCTATATCCCTCCACTCACAGGCATCCTCCACACACTATCCTGAAACCACCCCAATTCCTACCACCACCAGTACTCCAAAGCCCACTGGTACAGGAACCAACACCCCTGGGGCCCACAGCACCTCGGCCACCAGCCCCAGGCCACCCACACCCTTCACCACACACTCCCCACCTACGGGGAGCAATCCCATCTCTTCCACTGGTCCTACGACTACAACATCCTTCAAGACCACCACGATCCATTCAACTCCACCACACTCTCAGACCACACTTCCCACTCAGGTTCCACCGTTCTCCACATCTTCAGTGACTCCCAGAACTCACACAATCATCACCACTACCTACCCCCCAATGTCCACTTCCCCCTCCATCCACTCAAATCCGACAGGCACCAGCACCATGTCTGTACCCACGACAGTCAAGGTCACAGGGTCCACGCACACAGCCCCACCAATGACGGCCACCACCAGTGGGACCAGCCACGCCCACAGCTCATTCAGCACAGCCACAGGCTCTACATCCCTCAGCTCACACGCTTCCTCCACACACCGTCCTGAAACCACCCCTACTTCTTCCACCATCATTACTCCCAAGACCACCAGTAGAGGAATCAGCACCCCTGTAGCCCATACGACCTCAGCCACGAGCCATGGGCCACCCATACCCTTCACCACACACTCCCCATCCCCACCTACAGGGAGCAAGCCCGTCTCTTCCACTGGTCCCATGACTACAACATCCTTCAAGACCACGACAACCCATCCAACCCCACCACACCCTCACACACCACTTTCCACTCACGTTCCACCTTTCTCCACCTCCGCAGTGACTCCCAGTACTCACATGATTACCACACATACACAGCCACCAATCTCCACTTCCCCCTCCATCCACTCAACCCCCACAGGCACCATTCCTCCACAGACAATGGTCAAGACCACAGGATCCACACACACAGCCCTACCAATTACGGAGTCCACTAGTGGGACCAGCCAGGCACACAGCTCATTCAGCACAGCCACAACCCCAACACCCCTCCACTCACACGCCTCCTCCACACACCGTCCTGAAACCATCCCAACTTCTTCCACCACCATTACTCCAAAGCCAACTGGTACAGGAACCAGCACACCTGTAGCCCACACGACCTCGGCCACGAGCCATGGGCCACCCACACCCTTCACCACACACTCCCCACCTACAGGGAGCAAGCCCGTCTCTTCCACTGGTCCCACAACTACAACATCCTTCAAGACAAACACAATCCATCCAACCCCACCACACCCTCAGACCACACTTCCCACTCACATTCCACATTTCTCCACCTCTTCAGTGACTCCAAGTACACACAAGATCGTCACCTCTACCCACCCACTAATATCCACTTCCCCCTCCATCCACTCAACCCCCCCACACACCCTGCCAGTACTCACAACGATCAAGGTCACAGGGACCACACACACAGCCCCACCAATGACAGCCACCACAAGTGGGACCAGCCACGCCCACAGCTCATTCAGCACAGCCACAACCTCTACATCCCTCAGCTCACACGCTTCCTCCACACACCGTCCTGAAACCACCCCATCTTCTTCCACCATTACTCCCAAGACCACCAGTAGAGGAACTGGCACCCCTGTGGCCACCACCACCTCGGCCACCAGCAGCCAGCCAACCACACCCTTCACCATACACTCCTCACCTACCGGTGGCAGTTCCGTCTCTTCCACTGGTCCTATGACTGCAACATCCTTCAAGACCACGACTACCCATTCAACCCCACCACACCCTGAGACCACACTTTCCACTCACGTTCCACCTTTCTCCACCTCCTCAGTGACTCCCAGTAGTCACACTGTAATCACCCCTACACACCCACCAACGTCCACTTCCCCCTCCATCCACTCAACCCCCACAGGCACCGTGCCAGTACCCACAACAATCAAGGTCACAGGGACCACACACACAGCCCCACCAATCACGGCCACCACCAGTGGGACCAGCCACGCCCACAGCTCATTCAGCACAGCCACAACCTCTACATCCCTCAGCTCACACGCTTCCTCCACACACCGTCCTGAAACCACCCCATCTTCTTCCACCACCATTACTGCCAAGACCACCAGTAGAGGAACTGGCACCCCTGTGGCCACCACCACCTCAGCCACCAAAAGCCAGCCACCCACGCCCTTCACCACACACTCCACACCTACAGGGAGCAGACCCATCTCTTCCACTGGTCCTATGACTGCAACATCCTTCAAGACCACAACTACACATCCAACCCCGCCACACCCACAGATGACACTTCCCACTCACGTTCCACCTTTCTCCACCTCCTCAGTGACTCCCAGTAGTCACACAGTCATCACTCCTACCCACCCACCAACGTCCACTTCCCCCTCCATCCACTCAACCCCCACAGGCACCGTGCCAGTACCCACAACAATCAAGGTCACAGGGACCACACACACAGCCCCACCAATCACGGCCACCACCAGTGGGACCAGCCACACCCACAGCTCATTCAGCACAGCCACAACCTCTACATCCCTCAGCTCACACGCCTCCTCCACACACCATCCTGAAACCACCCCAACTTCTTCCACCATTACTCCCAAGACCACCAGTAGAGGAACGAGCACCCCTGTGGCCACCACCACTTCGGCCAGCAGCAGCAGACCACCCACACCCTTCACCACACACTCCACAGCTACAGAGGGGAGTCCCATCTCTTCCACTGGTCCTATGACTACAACATCCTTCAAGACCACCACTACTCATCCAACCCCGCCACACCCTCACACACTTTCCACTCACGTTCCACCTTTCTCCACCTCCTCAGTGACTCCCAGTACTCACACAGTCATCACCCCTACACACCCACCAATGTCCACTTCCCCCTCCTTCCACTCAACCCCCACAGGCATCATTCCTCCAAACACAACGGTCAAGACCACAGGATCCACACACACACCCCTACCAATTACAGAGACCACCAGCGGAATCAGTCAAGCCCAGAGCTCATTCAGCACAGCCACAACCCCAACACCCCTCCACTCACACGCGTCCTCCACACACCATCCTGAAACCATCCCAACTTCTTCCACCACCAGTATTCCAAAGCCCACTGGTACAGGAACCGGTACACCTGTAGCCCACACGACCTCAGCCACGAGCCATGGGCCACCCATACCCTTCACCACACACTCCCCACCCCCACCTACAGAAAGCAAGCCCGTCTCTTCCACTGGTCCCATGACTACAACACCCTTCAAGACCACGACAACCCATCCAACCCCACCACACCCTCACACACCACTTTCCACTCACGTTCCACCTTTCTCCACCTCCGCAGTGACTCCCAGTACTCACATGATTATCACGCATACACACCCACCAATCTCCACTTCCCCCTCCATCCACTCAACCCCCACAGGCACCATTCCTCCACAGACAATGGTCAAGACCACAGGATCCACACACACAGCCCTACCAATTACGGAGTCCACTAGTGGGACCAGCCAGGCACACAGCTCATTCAGCACAGCCACAGCCCCAACACCCCTCCACTCACACGCGTCCTCCACACACCGTCCTGAAACCATCCCAACTTCTTCCACCACCATTACTCCAAAGCCAACTGGTACAGGAACCAGCACACCTGTAGCCCACACGACCTCGGCCACGAGCCATGGGCCACCCACACCCTTCACCACACACTCCCCACCTACAGGGAGCAAGCCCGTCTCTTCCACTGGTCCCACAACTACAACATCCTTCAAGACAAACACAATCCATCCAACCCCACCACACCCTCAGACCACACTTCCCACTCACATTCCACATTTCTCCACCTCTTCAGTGACTCCAAGTACACACAAGATCGTCACCTCTACCCACCCACTGATATCCACTTCCCCCTCCATCCACTCAACCCCCCCACACACCCTGCCAGTACTCACAACGATCAAGGTCACAGGGACCACACACACAGCCCCACCAATGACGGCCACCACAAGTGGGACCAGCCACGCCCACAGCTCATTCAGCACAGCCACAACCTCTACATCCCTCAGCTCACACGCTTCCTCCACACACCGTCCTGAAACCACCCCATCTTCTTCCACCACCATTACTGCCAAGACCACCAGTAGAGGAACTGGCACCCCTGTGGCCACCACCACCTCAGCCACCAAAAGCCAGCCACCCACGCCCTTCACCACACACTCCACACCTACAGGGAGCAGACCCATCTCTTCCACTGGTCCTATGACTGCAACATCCTTCAAGACCACAACTACACATCCAACCCCGCCACACCCACAGACGACACTTCCCACTCACGTTCCACCTTTCTCCACCTCCTCAGTGACTCCCAGTAGTCACACAGTCATCACTCCTACCCACCCACCAACGTCCACTTCCCCCTCCATCCACTCAACCCCCACAGGCACCGTGCCAGTACCCACAACAATCAAGGTCACAGGGACCACACACACAGCCCCACCAATCACGGCCACCACCAGTGGGACCAGCCACACCCACAGCTCATTCAGCACAGCCACAACCTCTACATCCCTCAGCTCACACGCCTCCTCCACACACCATCCTGAAACCACCCCAACTTCTTCCACCATTACTCCCAAGACCACCAGTAGAGGAACGAGCACCCCTGTGGCCACCACCACTTCGGCCAGCAGCAGCAGACCACCCACACCCTTCACCACACACTCCACAGCTACAGAGGGGAGTCCCATCTCTTCCACTGGTCCTATGACTACAACATCCTTCAAGACCACCACTACTCATCCAACCCCGCCACACCCTCACACACTTTCCACTCACGTTCCACCTTTCTCCACCTCCTCAGTGACTCCCAGTACTCACACAGTCATCACCCCTACACACCCACCAATGTCCACTTCCCCCTCCTTCCACTCAACCCCCACAGGCATCATTCCTCCAAAGACAACGGTCAAGACCACAGGATCCACACACACAGCCCTACCAATTACAGAGACCACCAGTGGAATCAGTCAAGCCCAGAGCTCATTCAGCACAGCCACAACCCCAACACCCCTCCACTCACACGTGTCCTCCACACACCATCCTGAAACCATCCCAACTTCTTCCACCACCGTTACTCCAAAGCCCACTGGTACAGGAACTGGTACACCTGTAGCCCACACGACCTCAGCCACGAGCCATGGGCCACCCATACCCTTCACCACACACTCCCCACCCCCACCTACAGAAAGCAAGCCCGTCTCTTCCACTGGTCCCATGACTACAACACCCTTCAAGACCACGACAACCCATCCAACCCCACCACACCCTCACACACCACTTTCCACTCACGTTCCACCTTTCTCCACCTCCGCAGTGACTCCCAGTACTCACATGATTATCACACATACACAGCCACCGATCTCCACTTCCCCCTCCATCCACTCAACCCCCACAGGCACCATTCCTCCACAGACAATGGTCAAGACCACAGGATCCACACACACAGCCCTACCAATTACGGAGTCCACCAGTGGGACCAGCCAGGCACACAGCTCATTCAGCACAGCCACAGCCCCAACACCCCTCCACTCACACGCCTCCTCCACACACCGTCCTGAAACCATCCCAACTTCTTCCACCACCATTACTCCAAAGCCAACTGGTACAGGAACCAGCACACCTGTAGCCCACACGACCTCGGCCACGAGCCATGGGCCACCCACACCCTTCACCACACACTCCCCACCTACAGGGAGCAAGCCCGTCTCTTCCACTGGTCCCACAACTACAACATCCTTCAAGACAAACACAATCCATCCAACCCCACCACACCCTCAGACCACACTTCCCACTCACATTCCACATTTCTCCACCTCTTCAGTGACTCCAAGTACACACAAGATCGTCACCTCTACCCACCCACTGATATCCACTTCCCCCTCCATCCACTCAACCCCCCCACACACCCTGCCAGTACTCACAACGATCAAGGTCACAGGGACCACACACACAGCCCCACCAATCACAGCCACCACCAGTGGGACCAGCCACGCCCACAGCTCATTCAGCACAGCCACAACCTCTACATCCCTCAGCTCACACGCTTCCTCCACACACCGTCCTGAAACCACCCCATCTTCTTCCACCACCGTTACTCCCAAGACCACCAGTAGAGGAACTGGCACCCCTGTGGCCACCACCACCTCGGCCAGCAGCAGCAGACCACCCACACCCTTCACCACACACTCCACTGCTACGGAGGGGAGTCCCATCTCTTCCACTGGTCCTATGACTATAACATCCTTCAAGACCACCACTACTCATCCAACCCCGCCACACCCTCACACCACACTTTCCACTCACATTCCACATTTCTCCACCTCCTCAGTGACTCCCAGTAGTCACACAGTCATCACTCCTACCCACCCACCAATGTCCACTTCCCCCTCCATCCACTCAACCCCCACAGGCATCATTCCTCCACAGACAACGATCAAGACCACAGGATCCACACACACAGCCCTACCAATTACAGAGACCACCAGTGGAATCAGTCAAGCCCACAGCTCATTCAGCACAGCCACAACCCCAACACCCCTCCACTCACACGCCTCCTCCACACACCATCCTGAAACCACCCCAAGTTATTCCACCACCGTTAGTCCAAAGACCACCAGTAGAGGAACTGGCACCCCTGTGGCCACCACCACCTCGGCCACCAGCAGCCAGCCAACCACACCCCTTACCACACACTCCCCACCTACCGGTGGCAGTTTCGCGTCTTCCACTGGTCCTATGACTGCAACATCCTTCAAGACCACGACTACACATCCAACCCCACCACACTCTCAGACCACACTTTCCACTCACGTTCCACCTTTCTCCACCTCCTCAGTGACTCCCAGTACTCACACAGTCATCACTCCTACCCACCCATCAATGTCCACTTCCTCCTCCATCCACTCAACCCCCACAGGCACCATGCCAGTACCCACAACAGTCAAGGTCACAGGGACCACACACACAGCCCCACCAATCACGGCCACCACCAGTGGGACCAGCCACGCCCACAGCTCATTCAGCACAGCCACAGGCTCTACATCCCTCAGCTCACACACTTCCTCCACACACCATCCTGAAACCACCCCAACTTCTACCACCAATATCACTCCAAACCCCACTAGTAGAGGAACCGGCACCCCTGTGGCCCACAGCACCTCAGCTTCCAGCCACAGGCCAGCCACGCCCTTCACCACACACTCCACACCTACCAGTGGCAGTTTCGCGTCTTCCACTGGTCCTATAACTGCAACATCCTTCAAGACCACGACTACCCATCCAACCCCACCACACCCTGAGACCACACTTTCCACTCACGTTCCACATTTCTCCACCTCCTCGGTGACTGCCAGTAGTCACACGGTCATCACCCCTACCCACCCACCAATGTCCACTTCCCCCTCCATCCACTCAACCCCCATAAACACTATTCCTCCACAGACAACTGTTGAGGCCACAGGATCCATGTACACAGCCCCACCAATGACAGCCACCACCAGTGGGACCAGCCACGCCCACAGCTCATTCAGCACAGCCACAGGCTCTACTGCCTTCATATCCTCCTCCTCTTGGTCACCTCAGAACTCTAGCTCAAGGCCACCATCATCGTCTTCTGCCACCACACCACTGCCCCATTCACGTTCTCCAACCACTCCAGTTTCTGCAACTCATCAGCTGCACTCCTCCTCGTCTTCCCCGCCAGCCTCTGCACCCTCTTCCCTTACTTCTCACGTTTCCCCCTCCCACTCCTCTCCCCAGACTTCATCTTCCTCAGTGGTGTCTGCGCCCGTGCACTCCACAAGCCTGAGCTCAGGCTCCCACTCCTCCTTTTTCACTCGTTCCACAGCTGCGTCGGCGTCTGTGCCTCCTTTTTCTCCTTCTCCAGCTGCCTCTACCACCAGCAGGGCCTCCCTCCCCCACACAACTTCCCCTCCTGTCGGCCTCTCCACTCTGCTCCCCGTATCCACTCCCACTGCATCCAGCACCACAGCATTTCCATCCACGCACAGCACCACGACCAGCACCCACCCCACCTCTGCCGTCTCTTCTCAGTCCACCACCTGGAGCTTCACTTCTCTCACCACCCGAGTTCCTACACCAGGCTTCGTGTCACTCACCTCGGGGGTGACAGGTATCCCAAGCTCTCCCATCACCAACCTCACCACCAGGCACCCTGGTCCCACCTCGCTGCGCACCACACGGTTCCTGACCAGCTCCCTCACTGCACGTGGAAGCACCCCTGCTTCTGCCCCAGTATCTTCTCTTGTGACAACTACGCCCAGCTCATCCAGTAAGTGGTATCTCTGTGGCCGTGCCCCTGTCCCCACCTCTATGCTGCTGACTCCCAGTCAGCCCCTGCCTCAGCTTACCCCTCACGGTCCCAGGTCCCAGGTCCCAGGTTCCCATGCCTGTTCCCGACCTTCCCTACACAGCTGTGGGTCCTTTCCCATCTCCTCTCCTCTCCCAGGCACCCAGCAAGTGCCTGGCCTCCCCCATTGGGCCTTCCTCCCCCACTAACCTTTCTTTTCCCTGCGCCGGCTCACTCATTCCCCTGTCCCTGCTGCACTCCCGGCCTCCCTTCAGAGGGACACCCACCAGAAGCCTTCCACAGCTGCCCCTGTGGGTGCTCACAGATGTCAGGGCTGGCCGGAGCCCAGGGTTCAAGCCACATAGCCCTCCCTCCAAGTCCAGAGAGAGAGACAAAAGCCCAACACAACCCCTGCCTCGCCCCAGGGGAGCTGCTGAAGGTGGAGCTGGCCCTGGTGACCGGGCCGCCTGCTCCTTGGTGCTTCCGCCAATTCTCGGCCACTGCTCCTCCCGGCCCCCACTTGGCCTCCTGTCTGTGAGCTAGTCCACTGCTCCCCATCCCGCCTGGGGACAGAGCACACCTCAGGCCTCGTCTACATCCACCTCACCCCGCGTTCCAGGGACGTCCCTCCCTTTCCTCCTGGGTGTTCCTCTCACAGCAGCCACCCAGGGACTGGGTCTCTGCATGCCTGGGCCCCCACTAGGAGCTGGGCCATAGCTGGCTGCATGGCCTCTTCCGTGAGGGGCAGTTCCTTGCTGCAGGCTGAGGGAATCTTGGTTTGGGTCCCTCCCTGAGACCAGGAGTTGGGTCACCAGGGAGGTGACCCCAAGAGGCAGAGGTAAGGGAGCAGGAGCCAGCTGGAAGGGGAGGGCAGCTGCAGACCACAGGGCCCGTGGAGGCACCCAGAGTCCTGCCCCCTCCCAAAGAAAGCCCTCTGCCGTGGGCAGGCAGGCTCCAGGAAACAAAGCTGGGCACAGCCGGGGAGGGCACACGGGCAGCAGCGACCAGCCCTTGCCCAGGAATTCTATTCCACTTTTAAACCCAAGCTCCACAGTGGTAGATTCTAATGTGGACGCTGCTACTGTCTACATCAACCCGCCAGCTGCATGCTACCTGCCACACTCCCAGACCTCTCAGTGGGGCTGGCTGGGCCTTCCACATGGGCCTCACCCCACCCCTTCCAGAATCCCAGACCACGGAGCCTGCTCCACTTCCCTCCTCCCCGGCTGGGGCCCGCGGAGCACCCGCAACACCATCTGTCCCCCTCTGGCGTCACAGACACCATGTCCTCGGCCCCCTGCAGGTGCTGGGTCCGGCCCACCAGAGATTCCCATGCCCAGAGGTCGGTGTCCAGGCCTGGGGTTGGGCATCAGGGAAGCTGGGCCCCCCGGGTGGCTCACACAGGCCAGGGCTCAGTATCTGCCAAGTCCTCTGAGAACGTCCTTGACGGACTCCAGCACAGCAACTTTGAGGGAAAAACAAAGCAGGAGGCTGCAAGCCTTCGCCTCTGTGCATGGCTGAGATCTAAGCTCTGTGGGGCTCCACCAGGGGAGGCCATGCCTTGGGCAGGAAGGTCCAGAGGCAGGTGAGGACGTGGTCCCCAGCCAGGGACCCCCTCCCTCCTCGCTCCATGCCACCCGGGGCGCTGCTGACTGTCCAACTCCGCTCCCAGGGGTCTGCAGCGTGCAGGAGCAGCAGGAGGAGATCACGTTCAAGGGCTGCGTGGCCAATGTGACAGTGACCCACTGTGAGGGTGTCTGCATTTCCTCCGCCAGGTGAGTCCACAAGGCAAGGCCACAACACGGCCAGCAAGGTTCAAAACCCCGCCCAGAGAGGTGCCAAGACAGGGCTGGGGCTCCCACACAGGCACCTGCTGCCCAGTCAGGTCAGCCACTTGGCGCTTCAGCTGCCCACTGCCTGCCCTGGCCCTGGGACCAGGTCAGCAGGAGGCCCAGGCCTCCTGGAGCAGCCGGCCTGGGGAGGGAGGGCCTTCCAGGCGCACCACGCCCTGCAGCAGCCACAGCCCCTGCTCTGTCTTGGCTTCTCGGCAGCTTCAACATTGACACCCAGCAGCTGGATGCCCGCTGCAGCTGCTGCCGCCCGCTCCATTCCCACGAGCAGCAGCTCGAGCTGCCCTGCCCAGACCCCAGTGCGCCTGGCCGGCGGCTCGTGCTCATCCTGCAGGTGTTTAGCCGTTGCGTGTGCAGCTCTGTGAGCTGTGGACACTAGCGGGGTCGCTGCCTGGTCTCCTGGGAGTGAAGGGCTGCAGATGACAGAGAAGGACAACCCCTCCCACCAGCCCCTTCCTGCTCGTGCCGGCAGCTGCGTTCCTGGTACGCAGCCCTGGCCCCCAACAGCCCTCGGCCGTGGCTCATCTGAGGCACTGGTGGGAGAGAGGCTGCCAAGCAGAGGCTCAGACCACCACACCCCTGCAGACCCTGACCCAGCAGAGTGGGACTGAGGCAGGCAGTGGCCACGGACCCTCCCAGGCACACAGGGCACTCCCAACCACCCCTGTCCACTGTCCAACACCTCCCAGCCTCTGAACTGGACCCCAGCCCTGCTGGGCCCAGAACGCTGCAGATGAGGTTGTGGAGCAGGTGCTGGGCCAGACCCATCGGGGGCGGGGACAACATGGGAACCTGTGAAGAGCTGGGGGCAAGAGGCCCAGGCAGGCACCGGCCCAGAGAAGGGGCCTCCCAGGGTCAGGGAGGACACAGAGTGGCAGGGAAGGTGGGGCAGCCACCCCCAGCTCCCAGCCAGCCAGGAGCCCCCTCCCCACCAGCACCACGCCGTCCCCAGCAGCTTGTCCTGGGAAGACAGCTTCACCTGGCCACAGACTCCAAATAAACTGGTTCTTGTCAAGGCACTGAGACTGGCCCCCGAGCATTGCTTTTGCCTTTCCCCAGCCCCTTCGATCTGAGGCACCCACCCCACACCGGCACCCTGTGGGCTCTGCACTCTGGGGCTGGGCTGAGAAGAGAAGCTGGCTCTGGCCCCGGGCCCTCCGCTCCCTGCACCAGGACTGTCCCATCTCTGGCAAAGCCACCATCCCCCAGGGGCTACCCCCATCTGCCCGAGGGCCCCTCTGCCCCATCTGTGGTAGGATCGACTAAAGGATCCCATGTGCGGCCCCCTCACACCCACATGCAGCTTGGCAGGCCCATTCTGCCAAGAATGGGAGGGAAACCCGAGGCCAGGCTGGAGGGGTTCCCACAGGACCTAAGTCCCCAAAAGCTCCACCACACACCCAAAATCCAATGGGCAGAACCAAGGACAGGCCCACCTCCAACACGGCGGGGACCTTGAGGTCCGTGCCTCACATGGCCCCGGGGAGCCACAGGGTCACGTGGGGTGGTTCCCCCAAAGACGGCGCATGATCCAGGCACTGTCCTAGCCTTTTTCTTTGATGAGGAGCACCACACTGAGGGGCCCTCTGCAGAGCCCCATGGGGAAGCGGTGCCTTGGGGAGCAGCCTTTCCTCCGATGATGGGAGGGGTTAAGGGGCGCGGAAGACGGATGGCAGCACACGCAGCCTACAGGTGCCACCCATGTCAGAGCACCGGCCAGCACTGCGTGAGTCACACCTGGCACCGCAGGACCCAGAGTGGCCAGTGTGAGGGGTGCAGGTCACTGACACGGCTGCCCTGTGATCAAAGTCCAACACACCAGAAGAGCAGAGACACCGCAGGCTGCACCACTGCACGGTGTGGGGACCCAGGGGTCCGCGAGCCCCTGCAGCCACCCCAGGACCCGCACAGCAAGAGGCTGACGGCCAGGTCAAAAGCCTCACGCAGGTGCGGCCGCCCACCCTCCAGCCTCCGCAGCACGTCAACAAACAGGAACCAGTGCTGGGCGTGTTCAGGACAGACAAGGCCCTCATCCTGGGGCCAGAGCGCAGGGTCTTGCTCCTCAGCCGGCCCACTCTCTCGCCTCTCAGGGTCAGATGTGCAGCCTGGGTGCTGAGTCCAGACGACAGGTGAGAGCCAAGCCACAGGTGGCATACAGGCGCGGGGCCAGCGGCCCCTTCACTTCCTGACCACGCAGAAGCTTCCCACCAAGACCACTAGACAGTTAACTGGAAGCACTCAGGCCTGCACCGTGGCCTGGGGACGCCCACTCTGACAGGAAAGAGAGTGTTGCACCACGGCGCACGCTTTACCCTGGAGTCCTGGGGGCCCCGCGGGGCCAGGGCACTCATCGGAGCCCGAAGGCAGGCGGTGAGCTCGCCTCATGGGGCCGGCAGGATGCTCCTCCCCGGCTGCATGTCTGACAGATGCCCTTCCCGAACAGGAGCTGGGACAGAAAAACCATGACATTCCACCAGGACGTGGTTTTGCCAGAAATCATTACAAATACAAATGTTTCTAAATTCTAGATTAAAATCCTGACCAGGAAGATTGTCCAGCTGGGGCTGCGGCAAACCCGGGGCAGCCGTGCTCCTCCCAAGGGCCCGGGACGATGCCAGGCGCACAGCCACCAGGACAGCCACACTGAGGTGCAGCCCCCGCCATGTGCAGCCACACTGCTGCTTCCAAAAGCTCCGAGGCAGGTGACCAGCAGCATGGGGCAGCTCAGCAACACTCCCACAAACGCCACGTTCACGCCAACTTCTAATTTCCCTTTAATTTGTAGATTTAACCACAGAACTGTCTTGATTTTTATAAAAACTGATCCCAAAATCCACCTTCTGCCGTGGCTGCCACTCAGTCCAGGCTGAGCTTTTCTCCTGAGCCACACACGCGTGTTCCTGTCCAGCCCAGAGGGGAGGGGTCCGGAGCAGCGGGGCGGGGAGGCGCCACGTGCTATGACACTGGACACGGGGCGCCGATCTGCATGATGGCCAGGAAGACAGACAGCACAGACGAAGGAAACGCAAGACACACGAGCCTGGCCTTCCCTCCTCGCCACTAGAACTGCGCCGACAGCAATTCACATAATCTCTGGGAAACGGCTTCCTTACTCGTCCGCAGCGTGAGCCGGTACATCTGAAACAGGGCAGAGCAGGACAGCAGGTCAGCGGGCACGCCGGGGCTCACAGGCCCGCAGGTCCAGCCCTGCCATGCAGGAACCCCGTGGGCCACACCCAGGGAACGGGCACTGGAGGCACCCACAGCTCAGCAGAGGCCTGAGCACCACACAACAGTCAGCACAGAAACTGCAGGCTGGCTTGAGAGCACCTGGTGCCTCACATGCAGCTGGCGGGAGTGTGCAGTGGTGCGGCCACCTGGGGAAGCTGGGGGCAGCTCTGGCAGCGCTAAGCACAAACATCCTGGGTGCTGCCCAAGTGAAACACAGACAGGCGTCCGTCGACAGAACAGGATGTGGCAAGAAGCAACGAGGCAGTCACCGAGAGGAAGAGCTTCTGACACACACGGCAGCTGGGAGAGCCACAGCCCAGGCCCAGGCTGCTCCATGGCGGGATGAGGCTCCCCGTGGCCGGCTGTGGCGAGGCTGGGACCTGACCACATACTGATGGGGTGGGGCTAGACGGGCACACATCTGTCGCAGCTGCCAGAACTGCCCTGGAGATCTACGTGTGTCAGCACGAGAACCATCAGAATCCACTCAAGCGTGCTCAGCCGTTTCCCTAGGGCCTGACCTGGGCTTGCAGGTTCGGCTCCAGGCGCAGCAGGCATCCAATCTGAGTGGTTTTCGTGTGTATGATTCCAGCTCCCACGAAATTCGCAGGATTGGGATCAACTTCTTCTAGAAGTGCAGAACCGAATCCTATGATCTGTCCAAAGAAACAGGAGAATGAGGGCCAGCGCCATTGCAGGTGCATGTCCCGTGTCCCCCAAGGTCCCTCAAGACGCGCTACCTTGGCTTTGGTGACCTCTGTGTCCATGGGGTGCTTCGCCTTGAAGATGTTCTGAACTTCCTGTTGTGGACTGAGAAACAGCAACAAAGGCCAGTGTTCTCAGCCAGGCCAGAGATCAAAGCCCACCTGTTCAAATGACCCCGCGCCCCCACCCTGACCCTGCAGGAAAACAGGTTCTCACTTGCTCAACTGCTTCCAACGTTGAAAGAAATCCTGAGAAGCCATTTCTGTGGGCTGGAAGAACTTGTTGAGCGTGATGGGCAGCTGCACGGAAACATTCTGGAAGGTGCCCCCATACCTGTGAGCAGCAGCAGAAAGAGACAGTTGGCTCCTCCTCCAGAGCCCCAGGGGCCAGGAAAGAGCCCACAGACAGTCAGCTCCTCCTCCGAGAGCCTCAGGGGCCAGAAACGGCCTGGGTGAGGTGTGCCCACCCATTGCCACGCACCAGAGGGGGACCGAGGTAGCTCGGTGTCCAGTGTCACCCACAGGCAGGAGGGCAGGCCAGGGCCGTGCACAAAGGCAGGACGCCCCAGTGCCTCACTTCTCCCCAGTAATCTGTTTCCCAGAATTCCAAGTCTGTGTAAATAGTGTGATTTTTTTTGCCTTTTAAAACACAAAGGTCTTTGCACAAATAAAACAAAACTTTGCATGTCTATGTCTCCAAATTTTACAGTCAACAATCTTAAGTTCTCTGTATTTTTAATGTTAGCAAGTGTGCTTTTCTAAGCCGGGCGTGGTGGCTCACACCTGTAATCCCAGCGCTCTGGCAGATGGAGGCAGGTGGATCACCTAAGGTCAGGAGTTCGAGACCAGCCTGACCAACATGGAGAAACCCTGTCTCTACTAAGAATACAAAAAAAAAATTAGCCAGGCGTGGTAGCTCATGCCTATAATCCCAGCTTCTTGGGAGGCTGAGGCAGGAGAATTGCTTGAACCCGGGAGGCAGAGGTTGTGGTGAGCTGAGATCGCGCCACTGCACTCCATCCTGGTGACACAGCAAGACCCTGTCTCAAAAAAAAAAAAAAAAAATGAAGTGTGCTTTTCTAAACATTCCTAACTTTGCAGACACCCAGCAGGGGACAGGCTGCCCGTATACGCTCTATTGTAGTCAATGAAAAGGGGAAGTAGCAAACAGTCAGAACAGGAAAACCCTATGTTTTAAAAAATAAGCAGTGGTATGATCTGAGCTCTACTGCACAAAAGCGCACCCCCAGGCCAGTGTCTGAGGGAAACCAGCTGCCCTCGCCCTGCGGCTGTCATCTGGCACCAAGCCAGGGAGGTGGCTCGGGGACCCTAGCTGTCTGCCACCCCATGAGGTGGGCCCTGCAGTGCCCATAAAGATCCTAGCAGGCCCCGTTTGGGTGCCGCCTGCCGTCCCAGAGCCTGGGGCTTCACCTCCCCTCATTTCCTGCACTCTGCAGAGCTGCAGGCAGCAGCAGCTGAGGCCACACCCATGCACCACCACACCCGCAGCCCCTCGGTCCCCTCAGAAAGGGCGTGGTGGGGGCGTGGTAGGGGCCACTGCAGCTCAAGCGCCCACACACGCTCCTTGGCCCGGAGCGCACACGCTGACCTGAACTGAATGCTGAGGACCGGCGCCTCCGTGAAGTCGGACACGCACTCTATGTTGACCACCTGCTGCACCTGTGCGCCCCCCTCCACGGTCGGGTCCACAGGCTTGGTCTGCAGGTTCAGGTGTGTGCGCATTAAGGAAACCAGCCAAGCAAGCCCCAGTGGCAGTGGCAGAAATGGGCTGGACTAGATCCCAGCATGATCCACGGAGGCAGCACACGCACCACACTCCAGGACCACCAGCTACAGTCGAGGGGCAGCCACTCCACCCGGCCCTGCCCTTCCACCCAGGCTGGGTCCCCCGCGACCAGACAACCCTCAAAACACTGCTGCACCTCATGCTCTCAAAATGACTCCTCCATTTAAAAAAGTCACTTAGATTATACATGGGTGGGCCGGGCACGGTGGCTCACGCCTGTAGTCCCAGCACTTTGGGAGATCAAGGCGGGTGGATCACAAGATCAAGAGATCAAGACCATCCTGGTCAACATGGTAAAACCCCGTCTCTACTAAAAATACAAAAAATTAGCTGGGCATGGTGGCGCGTGCCTGTAATCCCAGCTACTCAGGAGGCTGAGGCAGGAGAATTGCCTGAACCCAGGAGGCGGAGGTTGCGGTGAGCCGAGATCGCGCCATTGCACTCCAGCCTGGGTAACAAGAGCAAAATTCTGTCTCAAAAAAAAAAAAAAAAAAAGATTATACACGGGCTATTTTACTTATCTGTTCCATTCTGGGAGCCTCAGCTCTGGTTCCCACATAACAATTTTTGTCACTGTTTGCAGAAACTGGTGCTTAGTATGACAGGAAACTTAAAGAATCCTGGGAACAGCAGGCTCCTAAGACAGTGAGACTCAGAAAAGGGCCCACCGTGCTGTGACCAGGGTTGTTTCCATGCTGCAAAACAAGGGTTTGCCTACAGCCTCCCCTGAAGAAACGTGTGACACCAGCGAGGCTGGTCTGCAGGCAGTGGGTGCGGCCTCTCCTTCCCTCTGGGTTGTGTGCCGCCTGGAGCCCAGTGCACCCCAAGGGAGAGACCCCTACAGAAGGCACAGTAGGAGTAGGAGCTTCCACTCCTGGTCCTCAACGGTCTTCAGTACACGTGATCCCACATGTGTGTATTTTTAATGACTGTTTTGAACAGTTAGCTTGAACGGTCTGCATTAACATGAACACAGACCAGCCAGTGCCAAGGAGGACGGTGCTTCACTCAGCCCTCTGACCAATCCCCAGACGTCACCATCTCTGGTCAAGCTGGGGTCTTCACGCTGACTCTATCTGGTGGGGCTGTCCTTAGAGGAAGACAAGTTAGTGTGTCCCTCTTTTAGCCGGGGAAGTTCTAGTATCACTTCTTTTCAGTCTAAAAGCTCTACCAGAAGCACACGAGCTGTGCCGGGGTGTGAGCCTTGCTCCGGTCCCCACCAGCGCCTCCCATGCTCTGCAAGCAGCAGCTCCGTCTGTGAGACTTCAGGGAGGAGGGTTTAGAGATAAAGTCACAGGAGAACAAAGCCAGCTGAAAAAGAAAGGGACTCCAGCTGGCCAGATGCAGGGGAAGAGGCACACACACATCACTTTTAAATGTATTATCAAAACCTGTCATACGAATACGGAAGACTGCCTGATTTCCTTCTTCTGCTCAACACCATCGGCAGATTATGATGGCCTGATTTTCAAATAGCATCTGGAATTATCTTGCTATTTTGACAAAACAAGAAAACCAAAAAGCTTCCTCAGAAGTCTCCTCTAAGCCCCAAGTTACTGCGTGTGTGGGCTCGGGGGCAATGCACCCAAGGATATGAGGCTGAAGGTCGTCTGAGCAGATGAGTGTTGGGGTAAAATTCAGGAACTGCGTGGAGGTCTTATTCCCATAAAAGATAAACATCCGACCTAGAAGGAAACAGAAACAACTTTTCACACACATCACCCCACACCGATGCGGACATTCGCACTGAAAAACAAGACCCCGCAACCTGCAGCTGAACTGAAGTTCCCACTGGGACGGCTGCCTGTTGTTAAAATTCAGAACAAATGTTTTCTAGTTTTAGAATGAGCACACCAGGGCTGGAAACAGGGCCAGGTATCGTCTCCACTCAGAGGTAACAAGTGCCCTCCAGCACCCTCCTCCCTTGGCCCCTCCTGCGCCGCCACACAGGATGGATGCGATCACATGCATGAGCACAGGGAGGAACCCAGAGAGCACCCACCTATAGGCCTGGCCACAGCGGGAGGGGCCTGCCAAGCATCTTCTCCAGGGACACCACAATCACTCAGGCCTCTGCTGGCCCCGCCCTACAACTGCAGCATGCAAACACAGGCGCCCGCCCTACAGCTGGGCCCGTGTCCACTGCGGCACAGCAATGGTGGGGCACACTGAACCCCGCCCCGGCTGGGCCCATGTCCACCGCAGCACAGCACTGGCGGGGCACACTGACCCCCGCCCCGGCTGGGCCCGTGTCCACCGCGGCACAGTACTGGCAGGGCACACTGACCCCCCACCCCGGCTGGGCCCGTGTCTGCTGTGGCACAGCACCGGTGGGACACACTGATCCTCAGTGCACCATCCATGGCACAGGCGCACACTGAGGATGTGTCACTGTTTCTACTTACATCGTGATAAAAATCCAGGTGAACATTTGTATACTCTTTCAATTCAAAAAGGAAATCTCAAATATTCTGAAAACTGTACACGGTTTGGCATCACACCTCCCACCATTTAAAGAATCGAAACCAAAACTGAGGTGAAGCCATCACAGCCGAGTTTAAAAACGTGAACAGGGAATAAAGCACATCTGTTTTCAACACAGCACTGCCCACATGAACCCCTCTCACGACCCTCACCCTCTGGCAGATCCCTGGAGGGCAGGCGACTCCTGCTCTTTTCTCACACTCTGTCCTCATTTGTCACAGACAAGAGACGGAGGAGTCCTCAGCAGGCTCCAGGCAGGCGCCGAGGAGAGGGCCCAGCCGAAGCCGTGCAGCCACAAGGCTGTGCACAGCACTGTTCCGGACTCCAAGGCTGTTTCTTTCTTTTAAACTGTGGTAAAATACACCTCTCAGCCACCTTTCTAACCATAGTAGGGCAACAGATACAAGGGCGCAGGAAGTGCATCCACGCTGCCGTGGGGCCACCACTACCACCATCTCCAGCACTTCCTCACCTTCCCCGACTCAACACCGACTCCCTGCCCCCCACCCAGGCCTGGCACCCCCAGATACCCTGTCTGCAGATTCGCTGCTCTCGGGGCCACATGAGCAGAGCCACACAGCACCTGTCCTGTGTCCAGCCTGTATCCCCGAGCATGATATCCTGCTGTTTTGGTGTCAGAATTTCATTCCTTGCTGCCGTGTGATGGCTGAATACCACTCCATTGTGTAGATGGCCACGTTCCTAGGCATCCAGCCAGGAACATCTGGGCTGCTTCTAACTTCTGACTGTGGAAAATGCTGCTCTGGACATGCATGTACAGGTACCTCTTTAAGACCCGGCTTTCAGTTCTCTGCGGTCTGTACCCAGACGTGGAACTGCTGCGTCAGACAGTAACTCCATCTTCTTTGTGTTTTGAGGATCTTCCCACAGTAACCGCACTACCGCACCTTCCCACCAACGGAGCACAAGGCTTCCAAAGTCACCACACCCGCAAACACTCCTGCAAACAAACCTTTTTGGTTTGTTTGACTACATGTGTCATGAATGAATGAATGAATGAATGACAGGGTCTCATTCTGTTGTCCAGGCCACAGTGCAGTGGCATGATCGCGGCTCACTGTAGCCTCAAACACCTAGACTCAAGCGATCCTCCCACCACTGCCTCCTGAATAGCTGGGACCACAGGCGTGCACCACCACGCCTGCTAATTTTTGTATCTTTTGTAGAGATGGAGTCTCACAATGTTACGCAGGCTGGTCTCAAACACCTGGGCTCAAACAATCCTTCCACCTCAGCAGTCTCCCAAAGTGCGGGAGTTACAGGCCAAAGTCACCAGGCCACAGTCTGTTTTGTCTGCTTTGTTTCTCAAAATCCCAGCCTCAAGTAATAGGCCTGCCTCGGCCTCCCAACATGCTGGGGTTACAAGCATGGGCTACCACGCCAGCTATCCGTTCGTTTTATAACAGTCATCCTGGTGGGTGGGGTGGCATCTCACTGTGGGACCACAGGCGTGGGCCATCCTCGTGGGTGGGGCGGCGTCTCACTGTGGGACCACAGGCGTGGGCCATCCTGGTGGGTGGGGCGACGTCTCACTGTGGGACCACAGGCGTGGGCCACCCTGGTGGGTGGGGCAGCGTCTCACTGTGGGACCACAGGCATGGGCCATCCTCGTGGGTGGGGTGGCGTCTCACTGTGGGACCACAGGTGTGGGCCATCCTCGTGGGTGGGGTGGCGTTTCACTGTGGCTTTGTTTGCATTTACCTAATGACTCTGTCCATCTTTTCAGGTGCTTACTGAGCATCTCTGTATCTTCTGTGGAGAGCGTCTTCGCAGCCACCTTGCACCCACACTGCCTGCTTTGTTGTGGAGATGGTTCCTGATTTGTTGCCCAGGCTGTTCTTTTTCCCATTTTTCTTTTTTTTTTTTTTGTTCCCAAACTCTGCACTGAGGCACCCCAGAGTGCTGAAGTGGAGTCATGGGGAGCTGCTGAGACTCCACTGCAGAAGACTTTAAGTTTCCATGGAAACAGCTGCACACAACATCTGGTCAGGATCCACACAAGCTTTGAGTTGAAGAGCTCATAGTTTCAATATCAGATCACACTACGTTCTTTTTTTTTTTGCTGGCGGGTAGGGAGTGCTGGGGTGGGGTGGTATTTTTTTTTTTTTTTTTTTTTTTTGAGGGAAAATGTGAAAAAGACGGGGAAAAAAGAAAAAGAGGGAAAAAGGAATATTACTTCATTCCTAAAATGGGTTTCAATAATGGCCGATCAATATTTTGAGTGTTTAAAGTGGTTAATGCATATTTTATGTGTTTAAAATGGAGACCTCTATTGTGTTTATTTGTTCTGGCTCTGAGTTCAAGTCCTGGATATCGTTATCAATTTGTTGTCTCGTTGAATCTAAATCTCATTATGTGTCTTATGTATCTGGGTGTTAAGATCTCTTATTGTTGCATTAATCCCTTTACCCTTGCATCCTTGTAGCTTTGAAATCTATTTTATTAAGTGTGAGAATTGCAACTCCTGCTTTTTATTTATTTATTTTTGCTCTCCATTTGGTTGGTGAGTTTTTTTCCATCCCCTTGTTTTGAGTCTTTGTATATCTTTAGATATATCGTTAGATTTTGTGGATAATGTATATTTTGTGTGTTTAAAATGGAGAGCCCTATTGAGTTTATTTGTTCTGGATCTTAGTTCCAGTCCCGGATATCATTATCAATTTTCTGTCTCGCTGAATCTAAATCTCATTCTGGGTCTTATGTATCTGGGTGTTAAGATCTCTTATTATTACATTAATCCTTTTACCCTTGTATCCTTGTAGCTTTGAAATCAATTTTGTCAAATGTGAAAATTGCAACTCCTGCTTTTTATTTATTTATTTTTGCTCTCCATTTGGTTGGTACTTTTTTTTCCAACCCTTTATTTTGAGTCTATGTATATCTTTGGATATATCGTTAGATTTTGTCTGTATCTTTTGATTGGGAGATTTGGTCGATTTAAATTTAGGGTTGCTGCCGTTTGATATTAACTGGCTATTTTGTCCTTTCGTTGATAAAAATTCTTCTTTATGTTAATGCTCTTTACTTTTTGGTGAATTTTTAGAAAGGGTCATACTGGTTGTTCCTTTCTGTGTATAGTTCTTCTTTTAGAAGTTCTTGTAAAGCAGGCCTGGTGGTAATAAACTCTCTGAGTACTTGCTTGTTCCTAAAAGATTTTATTTTTCCTTCAAATGTAAAGCTTAAATCGGCAGGATATGAAATTCTGGGCTGAAAGTTCTGTTGATTAAGTATATTGAATATTGGCCCCCACTCTCTTCTAGCTTGTAGGGTTTCCGTTGAGAGATCTGCTGTAAGCCTAATAGGCTTACCTTTATGGGTAACTTGATCTTTCTCTCTGGCTGCCCTTAATATTTTCTCCTTCATTTCGATCTTGGTGAATCTAACGATTATGTGCCTTGGAGTTGGTCTTCTTGAGGAATATCTTTGTGGTGTTCTCTGTATTGCCTGGGGTTGAATAGTGTCCTGCTTTGCTAAATTAGGAAAATTTTCCTGGATAATGTCCTGGAGAGTATTTTCCAGCTTGAATTCATTCTCTCCGTCACATTCAGGTACACCAATTAAGCGTATATTAGGTCTTTTCACATAGTCCCATATTGCTTGGAGACTTTGCTCATTCCTTTTTATCCTTTTTTCTCTATTCTTGTCTTGTTGTCTTGTTTCATTAAGTTCATCTTCGACCTCTGATACCCTTTCTTCTGCTTGATCCATTCGGCTGTTTAAGCTTGTACATATTTCACTAAGTTCTCGTGTTGTATTTTTCAACTCCATAAGTTCATTTGTATTCCTCTCTATATTGTCTATTCTTTTCAACATTTCATCTAACCTTTTTTCCAAGTTCTTAGTTTCTTCACATTGGGTTAGAACGAGTTCCTTTAACTCCCAGAAGTTTCTTATCATCCACCTTTTAAAGCCTACTTCAGATAATGGAACACAGTCCTTTTCCATCAGGGCTTGTTCCGTTGCTGATGAGTCCTTTTCCATCAGGGCTTGTTCAGTTGCTGATGAGTCCTTTTCCATCAGGGCTTGTTCGGTTGCTGATGGGTTCTGATTTTGAGTATACTCGGCCTTCTTAGGCTGTTTTTTTCCCTTCATTGTAGATGAACCACCTTTCTAATTAGGTTTCTGAGTCGACGTCCGACTTATTGATTCCCAGTGCTGGGATCCGAGCCACCCACTGTGGCAGCCTAAATAGCAGTGGTAAGACTGATGGTGCTCTTCTGCCCAGGAATCTCTGGTCTGGCTTCCCTCTTGAGTCCGCAACAAGCGGCTCTGACTTCCCGGAGCTCCAAACTCCGGTCAGTAGGGGAAGCAGTCCCGTTGGCTCTGCATGAAGAGCTGCTGCACCGAGACGCCGGCAAAACCACTGCGGCGGCCACAAGAGTCGCGCTGGCGACCCGTGGAGCTCCTCCACTGGAAATCGGCTGATCGGTGAGTGACAAAAATTCGTCTAAAAGTGTGGTGTCGTCTCGTTCTCTGGGCTTTCACTGGGAGCTACAATCCTGAGCTGTTAGTGGTCGGCCATCTTGGATCAATCCCCATTTTTCAACTGGGCTGCTTTTTAACTGAGTCATGGGAGTTATTTTTACATTCTGGATATCAATCCCTTGTAAGTATATAATTTGTAAATATTTTCTCTTAATTTCCCATAATTTCTAAGAGAGATTTTCATTAAGTAATTAAAACACGTACCTAAATTCTGCCGAAATTCAGACTTAAGTCCAATTTGAAGCAGCTGGTTTTCAAACAACACACCATTGTTTTTACAAACAAACCTGGGGGGAAGAAAGACAGTATACGTCACTCAAAACCACCCACAAAACACAAGGGTTTGTTCTGGAAAAAAACATGTAGCACGAGAAGGCCAGAAAAACCTCTGAGACACAAGGGAAGAAAAAAGTGGAAAACTATGGCTGGGCACAGTGGCTCACACCTGTAATCCCAGCACTTTGGGAGGCAAAGGTGGGTGGATCACAAGGTCAGGAGTTCCAGACCAGCCTGGCCAACACGGTGAGACCCCGTCTCTACTAAAAATATAAAAATTAGCCTGGCATGGAGGCAGACACCCGTAATCCCAGCTACCGGGGAGGCTGAGGCAGGAGAATCTCTTGAACCTGGGAGGTGGAAGTTGCTGTGAGCCAATATCACGCCACTCACTGCATTCTAGCCTGGACAACAGAGCCAGACTCCGTCTCAAAAAAAAAAAAAAAAGTGGAAAACTATTCCAAGGACATCATGACAAATGGCCACCAGAGAGGATGGCGGGTGGGGCACAGGGAGGCAGGCACAGCCCCGGTGAGAGCTGTGCGGTCGGTGGGTGCAGCTGCTTTTCATGAACATGCTGCTCCACATATAATGACCTCTCACAGCCCCAGACAGGACGGGGTGTGATGCACACAGCCTCTAGCTACGCCGCAGACTCCATCCAACACGGTGCCGGACACTCACCCAGGTGAGGGCCTCGCCATCAGAGCCTGGCTGCCTCGCCCCCCACTGATGCACGTCCGGGCACCCAGCCGCCCACCTGCCAGCAGCACAGCCCTGCAGGGCCCTGGGTACCCCCATCTCCCCTCTGGCCTCCCCTCCCCTCCCCTCCCTCCAGGCATGGCTGTGTCTATACGGCACGGGGAACCCAGGGCTTTGCTCACCACAGGGCACTTATCTACAATACACAGAATGAGGGGAAATGAAACAGCATTGGTTAGCTTTCATTTGCGTTTATCACAGAACTTCAAGTTTTCTGACCTCCTCTAGGAAACCACAACTCCACAGGGGCCTGGGTCCAATGGAAGGAGAGGTAGGCAGGGCAGCAGCACAAGGCTCCTGAGTGGGCCCAGCAGAGGGATGCGGCACTGGTTCATACCACAGGGCGGGGAGGCGGGAGGTCCCGGCACCGCCCCTCACCGCAGCCCCAGTGCCTGAGAAGCAGATGCTGCACGGCGGCAGCCTAACTCTGCAATCTCCAGCTCCACCTGCGCTGACTCGGAGAAGACCCAGGCCAGCCATTCCCACGCTCACCCAGTCTCCACTCAGTGCACCCCAGCTGCCACCCTGGAAGGTCTGAGCGCTGCTGACCCGCAGATCAGCTCGTTGGCAGCCTGCCGTACGGAGCCCAGGCCAGGAAGAAGACAGAGGAACCAGTGACAGACGGCAAGGGCCCCAGTTGGGACAGTGATGGAGGTCCTTGGCGGGGAGGGCGCTGCTTGCCACACACTGCCCCGCTCCGGCCTGCCGTGGCCACAGAGCCGCGAGACAGCAGTCCCCGCACGCACACACCTCTGGAGGCCACAGCCACCCCAACAGGCCACTGGTCCAGCTCCAGCTACATGCGAAGCTTCCAAAAGCCCAGTGTGGTCCACCCAACACACAGGTCAGTCATCCACAATACAGGCGCTCCTGTATTTCCCCTTGGACTTCACACAGCAGGTGACTAACAAAGTAGGCATCACTTCACAGGAGAAGCCACCGACGGAAAGGTCCACATGCCCACGGCACCCCAGGGCCACTGCTCCGCCACAGCCAGTGGGCACTTCACCCGAGAGGCCAGTGCAGACACGAGACTGTGGAGTGGACACTCGTGGACCGGCCTAAGCCACTTCAAAGCGCAATCTGTCAGGACACGGGAAGGTGCTGACTGATCACCATGCGTGACAGAGAGGCCCTGTGGCCAGTGTGTCTGCTTGGCTGCTTGCTTTTAAAGGGTCATCCCAACTACAGCCTGGTCTGGGGAAATTCATGGGGAAACGCAAACCACTCTGCCAGGCCGAGAATGCAGCGTCCTGTCCTGTGAGCCATGTCCCGGCAGCCACCGCAGTTGGCTCGCCCTGAGGCCCTCTGTGCCTCCATCCTACACCAGACACACACAGACACCTGACGGCCCTCTGTAGCCAGACCAAAGCCAAGACACCCCAGACACCAATGACCCGAGGCCCGGCCACCGGGAGACAGCACCACCCAACATGAGGAGTGCACAAGGGCCACGTGCAGCTCCCAGCACAGCCGTGCGGAGATGGAGCAGGCAAGGAAGGGCTGAGGCTGCCATGGACTGTGCATGCAGTCCCCGTCCCTTCCTCCCGAGACACTGAGGAGCAGCCACCACCACAGCACTGGAACCTGGACTCTGCAGTGCTTCTCAACCCCAAACACAGCAATGCTAAAGAGCAGTGACAGGTCTGTTTTCAGCCCGAGAGGCGACCTGCACCGAACACGCACTCCAGCCTGCTGTCCAAAGTCCTTTTCCAGCATGTAACAGGAAACAGGACTCGCGCAACATGAACACAAAGAACTGGAAAACATTTAAAACCACTAGAATTCTACCATCTTCAGAATGGGGGAACAAAAGGCCATTCCTCAAAGGCTCTCTAACCTCCATCTGGACAGAACTGGCACCTGCGCTCCCACCCCACAGGGCAGCAGGGGAGGGGCGTCAACTGTGAGAAGACGGGGCCTCGGACCTCCAACCTGACATAAAAACAAGCAGACGGCTGAGAGCAGCCAGCAGGGGGAAGGCACAGCTCATCAGTCCCGCAGAGAGGGCCGGGGAGAGCGGCTGGCACCAACATTCTGGGGACCGCGGAGACACTGGCAGAGACCACAACACATGGGGAGCCGGGTGGTGTCCAGGCAGCGGACACAAATTACAGCAGGACAAGCAGCAGACATGCTGCCCATGGAGACAACCGCAGGCTGGAGGCCGAAGACGAGGGCAGGGTGGGCCTCACAGGTGGACTCGGCAAGTGAGCAACTCCAGGACAAGAGACCGGGCCCCCAGGTCAGACGCAGACAAGACGGCCTGTCAGAGTGAAAAGCAACCCAACTAGGCAGGAAAGAGGCGGAGAGAGGAGAGGTGTCGCTCCAAAGAGTGCTGGCCAGCATGGAAGAAAAGAGCAGCTGAAATGGGATCGGACGCCACCAGACAGGACACACCGCTGGCCAGACCGCGTGGCTCTTCTCACGTCCTCCTTTTCTCTTGAGAGTTATGTTAGCCCTCTATTTGCTGAACACTGCAGCCCATAAATCAAGTTCTGAGGAGGAGTTCCACAGCAAGCCTACCCCACCCACTACACGGCAGCTCCCACTCGCCCCCCAAGCAGCGATCTGGGAGGTAAACTCCGCTGCCCTCAGCCACGCTGGAGGTCACGGGAACAGCACCTCCCATGCCTGTCTGCAGGACCCCGCTGCCCACCTCTGTCCCGCTGGCTGTGGCCACACCAGGGTCACAGGGCACAGCACCCCCCATGCCTGTCTGCAGGACTCAGGAAACCTGACTACCTGGCAAAGTTGTCTTCGGAGCCAGGAGCGAGAGGCGCGACCGCAGAGGCCGAGTCTGAGAACACGTCCACGAGCAGCCCGCCGCTGCCGGAGGAGGGTGGGGGGCCCGCAGGGGCCGGGGGGGCGGCCCCCAGACCCAGCAGGTCTGCCGACGGAGAAGGCGTAGACTGGAAAAGAAGGAAGGAGAGCATCAGCACAGAGCCTCCCTGGCCTGGCTGACCCAGGCAGCTCACGCGTGCACGTCCTCCCCCACGGCACCCCCTTGGCATCCCCAAGATCCCGGAGGCTGGGGCAGGTGGCACACGGGCCACCGAGTGGCCCGAGCATGAGGGCAAACAGCCACCTCCTGAGTAGATCCCAAAGCCCAGCCTGAAGGTGACTGCATTTCAAAGACGAACCATCATTTCACTAAGATGACCTACATTTTCTCACAATGGCTGAAGGAAAAAAAATTCTCAAAAAAAGTTTGCCATGAAAGGCGTAAAAAAGAAACACCTGGCTTAAGAAATAAGATCACACATGTCACTGCCAGCTGTCCAATAAGAAAGTTCCAGAAGATGAAAGAGTAAATAACTTATTTGGGTGCCGGATCATTTCAATCATTAAGTTATGACTAAATCATTATTAGTTTAATCACTGAAAAGTCTACGGAACAGATACTTTCAAAAAATCATTGCTTTCTGGCCAGTGCGGTGGCTCACACCTGTAAACCCAGCACTTCGGGAGGTGGAGGCAGGAGGACTGCTTAGGCCCAGGAGTTTGAAACGAGCCTGGGCAACACAGCAAGAGGCTGTCTGTTTTTTCCTTTTTTTTTTTAGACAGTCTCACTCTGTCACCCGGGCTGGAGTACAGTGGTGCCATCCTGGCTCACTGTAACCTCCGCCTCCCAGGGGGAAGTGACTCTCCTGCATCAGCCTACCGAGTAGCTGAGATTACAGGTATGTGCCACCATGCCCAATTAATTTTTTTGTATTTTTAGGAGAGATGGGATTTCCCCATGTTGCCCAGACTGGTCTCAGACTCCTGGGCTCAAGTGATTCTCCTGTCTCAGCCCAGGGTGCTGGAATTATAGGAGTGAGCCGCTGTACCCAGTTCTATTTTTAAAAAATTAAATACTAGTAATAATGGCTCTTTTTTGTTGTTTTGGTTTGGTTTCTTTGAGATGGAGTCTCGCTCTGTCTCCCAGGCTGAAGTGCAGTGGTCTCAGCTCACTGCAACCTCCACCTCCCAGGTTGAAGTGATTCTCCTGCATCAGCCTCGAAGAAGGTGGGATTACAGACTAATTTTTGTATCTTTAGTGGAGACGGGGTTCCACCACGTTGGCCAGGCTGATCTCAAACTGCTGACCTCGAGTGATCCGCCCACCTCAGCCTCCCAAAGTGCTGGGATTACAGGCGTGAGCCGCCACACCCAGCCTTCTATGGCTTTTCACCACTTTCTAAAGTGGAAAGCCCTTTGCCCTAGCGAATGAATTTGTACCCGAAACATTCGTTACCACAGACTGTGATATCAAGGCCAGATGCAGGCCCTGGGACAACAGGGTCCTGACACCCACTGCGGGTTTCCCATCTCCCCCTCGTCCTCGGGCCTGGGAGACCCTCTTCAGGGAGCAGGCCTGGCTCCTGGCCATGCTTGCTCATCTCTTCCCTCCAACAGCAGGACAACTTGAGGGGTGAAGGTTCTGCCTACAAGGGTCCCGGCCTCCTGCACGTGAGGCCAAGCAGCCTCCGATCCCCACACCCATGTGCTTCCTAGCACACCCAGGGGCCCCAAGGAGCTGTGTGCAGAGAGAGAGCATGCTCAGAAGAAGTAAATGTTCTGGCCTCATTGATGATCTTAACAAAAGACATTTTCACCAACACAACTCCAAAATAAAGCCACTGCCTCTCATGGGAAAGGCACGCGTGTTGATGCCACCCTGAAACAGCCCCTTCGTGACCCATGCAGAAGACCCCAAGCAGGAGAATGTGCCAGGAGTGACCCCACCTCTGTCCTTCCCTCCTTCCTCACCCCCAGCCTGCTAGGGTCTCCCCATGAGCAGTGGGGACAGACTGAAAGCACAGGATAGCACCAAAGCCCACACGCCACAGCTCTCAGTCACAACAGAGGCCACTGCCTCCGTCACCAACACTCCCTAAGAAGCCCACCCACCAGGCACCACTGACCGGCAGGAGGAAAGCCACACTCAGAACATCCACGGAATGAGCCCTGAAGAGGGCCCTCCAAGGGGGCACCTTACAGAAACGCTGGCCCTCACTGGACCTTCAACCTCCTTTGCAGAGGGCAGCGTGCCACTCACTCCCAGTCTAGAAGCTTCCATCTGATCCCTAAGTCACAGAGTCAAGGCCAGGCACCTCAAAAGTCCACCGAGAGCCTAGGTGGGCAAACCTGGGTGTGATCTAAGGCCTAGGGCATGGGCACACCTCACCTAGGGCCCACGTGAAAAAGACACATCAATAAGAACCACAGAGAGTGAAACGGACGACAACCCTGAGCCCCCTTCTGCTCCCTCAGCAAGCCCCTCTTCAAGTCAAAGCAGCTGGGGAGGAGCGAGAGCCCCTGGTGCCTTCCCAGCCTCCAACAGGCCATCGCAGGTTTCCTCGGAAGGCTTCTAGTGCCTTTGTGGAAAGCCGCCTCCCTCGGTCATGTCTTCCTGCCCTCGCCTCCTCACCCAACTGGGGTCACGTCCTCACCTCTGCAAGGCGGAGCCACTGCTGGCCGAGCGCCCACGGGAAAGGCCCACCACCCACAGGAAGGGCCCTGCTCCGGCAGCTCACAGACAGATCTCCACAAGCACTCTGTCTCCAGAAACCCAGGTCAAGACACCCAAAGGAGGAGGAGAGACGGACCAGAGGAGAGACGCATCAGAGGAGTGACGGAGTGGCTACTGACATCCCACGGGACAGGGCCAAGAGCAGGTCACCGGCTCTACATAGCACGTGAGAAACACGAGCATGAAGGTGAAGGGAAGACGCCCACCTGGGCAGAAACAGACACGTTTATCATGCACTCCAGGATCAGCTCACAGGCAAGTCAAGCCTCCGGAGGGCAGGCACAGCAGGGTCCCACAACCAACGCAGAGAGGATACAGGGGACAGGGGCTGCACACAGGGCATGAGGCAATGGGGGGAGGGCGAACCGTTAACCCAAGTCAGGCTCAGCCGAGAGGGGGAGGAGGGAGAGGCGGAGAAGGAGGAGGGAGGAGACCCTGTTGTGGGGGGAAGAGAAAGGGGGAGGAGGGGGAAGGAGAACCATCAGGCTCAGCCAGGAGGAGGAGGGGAAAGGGAGGGGGAGAGAGAGGGGGAGGAGGAGGAGCAGGAGCCGGCCGTTGGGTGAGATGTCAGGCCTGGATATGGGCCCCATGGCAGGCCCTGCACTATCAGCCAGAGGGGCAGGACACACCGTGGTCAGCAAGGGCACGCAGTCAGTCAGGCACACAAGCAGGTCCCTGACTCAGAGATGAGCTCTCTCGCAACTAGCAAAGTGTCAGGGCAGGTGCTGCCATGGGAGCTGGCCCCGAAAGCCCTGCCAATACTGAGTGGCAGCACTGGACTGGCATCCTGGAGAGGAGACCCTCTCTCCAGAACTCCTCAAACTGGACAGAGACAGCGTGAGTGACCCCAACAAGAGCCCTCCCCGACAGTACAGAGGGGAACAGCCAGCAACTCTCAAAATGACACTTCTCACCCGACAAATACCACAGGACACATTGTCAGTTACATAGTTACTCTCATTGCTTCACACACACAAGGAAAACCAGACCTAACCCAGCTCGCTACAGAAAACCTCCAAGAACAGGGCAAGACAGGTCTGCCCTAAATCAACAAAGCACGTGTCAACAGCCGCCTGGGTAAGGCAGTCCTGCAGGAGAGCGACAGCCGATCCCATAAAACAAGTCACCACAGAGGATGTGGGAGCTGAGCTGGACTCAAGACACTGGTCTGGAGGACTCGCCTCGCCTAGCAGAGACAGTGGCCCAAGACAGGCCATCGTGGGTGTCCAGAGCCACAGCCAACACCTGGGTTCTCAGTACATGCTGCTCCCTGATAGGCTAATGCCCTGCAGGTGCCAAGTCTTGGGGGAGAGGCCCTGACAGGTCTGGGTGCACAGCAGAGGAGGGACCCACCACAGCGCTGGTGCTGGCCGGGGCAGGCTCGGGGCCCCCGTTCACATCAACACTCCTCTCCCGCTTGGTGTCCTCCAGGTCTGTCACAGTGCTGGGGCCCTTCTTCTTCTTGAGCTTGGCCAGGATGGAGGACTCCCGCTCCGGGAACGGAGGCATCTCCTCCAGCACGGTTGCCTTGGGAAGACAGGGTGAGCTTAAGCAGAGCCCCGACTGCCAACTCCCGATCACCGGTCACATGAGCACAGGGTGGGGACTCCTACCAGGATGTCGGTGCTGGCCACGGTGCTGAGCCGCAGGTACTCCACAGCGCGCTGCTGCAGCTCCACATCCGCGTTCCGCAGCTGGCTGTCGCTGCGAAGCACATCCTGGATGGTGGGCTTCACCTCCGGAAAGAGGTTCACAAACTTGATGTAGGTGGACAGGAGCAGTGCGCGGGTGGGGACGCTGCACAGGTGGAACTTGGAGTGTAGCAGGTTGAACTGGATCAGCGGGCTGGGGGCAGGGAGAGCACAGCAGGGAACCTGTCATCCCCGCAGGGAGGGACGGCCGCCAGACCCCCTTGCCTGCACCACAGGCCGCTGGTGACGCCCCTCTTCCAGCTCCAGAGCCCACTGCAAGGCTCCCATTCACAAGGTCAGCCGCGGACCCCGTCTCTCTATTTCCCACTAGAATCCCTGTTTTTTTGTCCCCTGAAGGAAAACAAAATGACAGCGCCTGGAGCAGTAGCGGCTCTGCGGGGCCGTTCCAGTGACAAACAAGGATACCGGCCACCCTGGCCCACTGGAGCGCACACAACCTCAACATGTACAAGGCACTTCACCTGGATCTCGGGTCTCCGGCTATCAGGTTTCCAAACTCCCCCAGGATGTAGCCGCCCACTTTGACCAGGTTCTCGTGGCACGCAGGAGCCTGAAGAGCCTGCAAAGCCACAAACATAATGAGGGGCATGGCAGCCACGTGGCCAGAGTGAAAGTGACGCAGGCACTTCCTGGCGGGCTGCACCCCATGCCAGCAGCAGCCCTCAGCTTCCTGGAAACCCCAGTCCGAGCGCACCCCTCGCCCCCACCCCCACCCCCCTGCAGCACCCTCAGGTCCTGTGTCAGCAGCAAGGAGCAGGAGGCTGCCACCCGCTGGCCTGCCTGGCTAGGTTCTGCCATCGCCCTCACAGCACACCAGCCCCGGTGGCCTAATCCTCTCCACAGTCATGCAGGCCCCACCCTGCAGGCACAGCATGCTCTCACACAGGAGGCCAGCCTTCTCAGGTGGCCCCAGAGAGCCACAGTTTCAAAGTCAGGGTGAGAAGAAACTGGGACTCAACCAAGGACACCAGCAGCAGAGGAACCAGAGCCTCAGGGAAGAGCTGAGGGGCACGAGGGGTCAGCCACAGCCCCCAGCACCTTCACCCAGGCGGGCTGGGACCACTACTCACCTTCCACGACTCCCCCCACCCCACCCTCCTGGCCGTCCTGTGGGCCGTACCTCGAACACGGTCTTGGCTGCGTAGCCCTGCACGTCGTCCCGGTTGATGACGATCTGAATGACTCGGTACCACACCTCTTCACTCACGTAATCGCCGGCGATTCGGATCAAGTTCAAGATGGTGTCCACGTACCAGGTGTAGTCCACCGCGTACTTCTCGGCCAGGATGGCGACCTTCAGCACCTGCAGGGGATTGGCGGCTGAGGGCGGACACCTGCAGGCCATGGCAATCCCAAAACCAAACTATCACCCAACGTCAAAGTGAGGGTTTCAGAAGCCCCTATGTGTCTACAGAAGTTTGGGACACACAAGGAGCTTGCACTAAATTCTCAAAAAAAGGCCACGAGCCCAGAAAGTTTAACATTCCCAGCCTGAATCCCAGGAAAAGGCAGAGCCCAGCGCACAGGCAGCCACGACCGCAGCCAGGCCATCTCCCGCCTGGGCCCTCCTCTCCCGAAGCCCCAGCACCTGGCCGCAGCGCCCTCTGACCGTGCCACCCTGGGGTCCTGGCAGCCACTTCTCTGATGGTTTCCTCCTGCTCCAGCCAATCTTTCCTGCAAGTCTCACCTGGGGGTACCCCTTCTTCCCCTCTCTGGTTCACTCTCACGGGAGACCCACCACTCCTTTACCCCCCAGGCACCTGGAGGCGCCTGCCCAGCCCACACCCACGTGGCAGCCACACGCATGGAACTCTGCCAGGCTGTCCAACACCAAATTCATCTTCCCAAAGTCATCTCGCCTTGCACCAAGCCCCTTCCAACAGCACCAGCTGCCAACACCAATGCTGGCAGGCGTCAAGACCACACACCTCCCGAGGACACCCCCCAAATGCCCTGACGCCCCCTCCCACGCCCTGCCGCCCCTCCCCATGCCCTGCTGCTGGCCTCTCAAATGCTGATGATTGTGCCTCCCCAGAGTCCCTCCCTGGAGCCTGGACCCCGAAAAACTCCATGATACTTCCAGAGCATCATTCCAAAATGCATTGCCTCTGAGCCCTGCCTCAGCCCGGGGCTGTGCACAGGGCCCTCACACCTCACTGGCAGGGTCCCCACCTACCCGTCTACCCGTCTCACATGCCCTGCTCCCTACCCTGTGCTGAGCCACCCACCACCCCTCCATAAACTGCTGCTCTGCCCTCCCAGTGGCCCCTGCAGCATCATCCTCTCCAGATCAGGCCCCTCCCACCTCCTGCAGAAGTCCACACAGCGCCCCCAGAGTGTAATGCCCCCTGAAGCCCTGGACCATGGGGCACTTCCTCCAGCCATCCCACCTACGGCACAGCGACCCTCGGCCCTGCTCTTAATCCATGCCCCTCCACGGATGGGAAGGTGCAGAGGAGGAGGAGTGGGCCAGGTCCGGTGTGGACACCCAGCACCTGGCACAGCCACAGAGAACACACTCTGCCATGCCTGGCTGAAGGAATGGGGTGTGGGGAGCACCACTCGGGCCAAGACGCAGCACCTGTCTGACTCCGCACAGCAGGAGCCGTGAGGTCACCACTCATCACACCTGTCTTACTCCTCATGGCAGGAGCAGCTGAGGTCACTCATCACACTTGTTTTACTCCCCACAGCAGGAGCCGGCTCAGGATTGCCGCTCATTGCATAGAAGGGCGAGAGCAGACACCGGGCTGACGAATGCCCGGGACCTCAAAATCTGCACAACAGCACTCAGACGCACACTGCTTCTGTCTGCTCAGAACACTCAGGAGGATCAGGAATGAGGCTCCTGTGACAGCCGTCCCCAGAGCCAGCCCGACACCACCACAGGTGCCAAGACCAGGACACACTGCCCCAGCCAGGCCAGAGAGGGACCCCTGGCCATAGTCAACAAGTACCTGCCTGGCCACTCCACAAACAGGACCCACTCAGCCCTGCCCTACACCAAACCCACCCCATGGGCCCTGCCCTTGGGAGTCAGCCCACCCGTCCCATCCCCCTCACCCTCCCAGGCCCACTGTCCTGGAGGTGGGCAGTCCAGCGGGAGAGCCGCCTCCTGGCCCCTGCTCTCTGTAGGTGCAGCGCCTCACTGAAGCTCAGTCTGTGGTCATTTCACCCTCAGCACCCAGCCCCTCCGTTCACTCAAAGATCCCTGAAAACCTCAGAGTCTCACCTGGGCATGACCACACACAGCTGCCCAGGGCAACCCTGTCACCTGCCACCAACTCCAACCCTGGCTCTTGGCAAAGCTCCCAAGGAGGCCTCAAGCTGCACTTTGCCCAAAAAGACAAATAACAAAGCGCTTCCTATACAACAGAGGCGGTGTCTCAGCCTCAACCAGAGGCTGTGGTCCCGGCTGGCGACAGCCGCCAGCCTCCCACAAGGACACACGGGCCCCCCCTTAAACCCCACCATCCACAGACACAGTGAGCCTGAGAGGCCTGTGAGCATGGGAGAGGCCTCAGGCCCTCTGCTCTGCTGACCATGTGGCCTCCACAAGGGTTTCTGCCCTCAGGTTTTCAGTCATGCTCAGCCTTCCGCCATCTGGCAGGCGTGCACACCTACTTTGTGATAAAAACAATGCGGGAAACAAAGCTATGGCCTAGATCACACCCCTCCAAAGATCAAGAGACACACACACAAAAGCCAAGCCACGAAGGGTTAATTCAGGGGCTCGAATGCAACACAGTTAAGAAGAATTCTGCCCAGAGAAGTCTAGATTTGTGCAGCCCAGCACAGTCGGTGCAGCCTCACTAAGACCCGGGGCTGCAGTGCCACCACCAAAAGGACAGGCAGGCCAGAGAAGCCGCACAGGGCAGCATTTTAGTTACCTTCCAGACCAAATGACTCCACCAAAAATGCTAACTTTTTTAAGACAGGGTCTCGCCGTGCTGCCCAGCCTGGAGTGCAATGACATGATCTCAGCTCACTGCAGCCTCAACCTCCTGGCCTCAGGTGATCCTCCCGCCTCAGCCTCTGTAAGCTGGGACCACGCCCAGCTTGAAAGTGTGAACTAAAACAGAGGCAGAGGAGCCTTGTATCCAGCATCTCACGGGTTCTCAGCCAAGCCCTGCCGGACAGAATCGCAGAGCACTAAGGAAATCCTGCAGTGAGATTCGCGTCTGCGGCAGGAGAGGACTCAGAGGCCAGCAGAACTCACAATCTCTTCTCGAATGGAGTAGTCGGCCGTCTCCAGATAGCTCAGCATCTCGGCCACGATCTGTGGGGCATTGCTGCGGTCGCACATAGCGTAGAGGAGGTCCACGGCCCGCTGCCGCACGCTCACGTCCCGCTCGGTCTGGGGAACAAGGCACAGAGTAAGAGGCCACAGGAGCAAGGCCCAGGCTTGGGGACCAGCTGGGGGACAGGCCCAGCACCGCGTCTCAATGCCCACTCTGAGCTTCTCTCACACACACATCCAGGTCCAGGCAATGGGCTCCAGCCATGCACAGTCCTCCCTCCCCAACGCACCGGCCCCTCCCACTCCCTGCACTGGGGCACGTGGGTCTGGACAGCCCAGAATCGAGCCCAGTGCCCTCGTTGCCTCCTCCCTCCGCACAAGCCAGCTACATTAGGACGGAGCACACAGCCTGGTGCGGGCCATCAAGGCCTCTCCTCCGTGTGGCCGAAGACCCCACTGCCTCTGGCACTGCCATGGAGCTGTCCCAGGTTCTCATATCCCACCCCAGAGCCTGAGCTGATGAGCCCCCCAGAGGCTCTACAGCATGAGAAAGCCTGAGGCCTGCACAGCTCTGCTACCAGCAAAGGACAGGGGAGTGGCCACCAGCAGCCCTAATGCTGGCCGTGTGCAAATGAGTGTCAGCCTTTCTGACAGCAGGGAGTGAGTAAAACACACACCGTCCAAGACCAAGAAGAATCCAGAAGACCAAATGCCACCACAAGCCCTTGTATGCCAGCCGGGACACCCATGAGCCACACGCAGACACACAGGGGCAGTGGGAGCAGCCCAGCCACAGCCCAAGGCTGGCTCAGACAGGGAATGTGGTGGACACACCTCAGGCGACCTCACATGGCGCAAACCCTCAGGGGCTGCTCTGGAGACTCACAAAGGCTGACAACAGACAACCTCAACTGGGCTCTTCCAACTCTGAAATTTTAATCCTCGAAAAAAGTGAGTTTCCTTTGCAAAAGGGGGGTTTTCTTGGAGGTAAGGTAAAAAAACTTAATCCTTCTACCAAGAAGAACCATTTCTACTTGTCAGGACTGTGCACGTGCAGGACGGCACAAGGGGGCCTGCCCATGGCAGGGAGAGGGCTGCCGTGGATGCCACACTCAGCCTAGCCAGGAGGCAGCACGGCCCTGAACAGTGGTGCGCCCGCCTGACAGCAGGTGCCAGGCGGAGGCCAGCAGCACCAACACCACGTCCATCTCTGCGGGGAGCCAGGAAGCAGTGCGTCCCCCAGCCTTCAGGGGAAGACCCATGGCACCTGCGCAGGGAGTGAGCAGACCCCGAGGACAGGGACTCGCCTTCAGGGCATTGATGACTGTCTCGATGTGCGTCTTGACGGCCTCGTGGGAGAACTCAGAGCTGGCCAGCGTGCACATGCTCTCCAGGGCCAGGTAGCGCAGGTTGGTTTCCCGGTGCTGCAGGAACTGGCCCAGCTGGTTGCAGGCGCGGACGAGCAGGTTCGGCTCACTGTGTGGAGGGAGAGGAAGTGGGGGGAGTTTCCTCAACACACACAACACAAACTGGACAGAACCCACATTCCCTGACGGGTCCAGATGGCAGACAGCAAAGTCACACCACACTCCCCGCCACCATGCTGCTCAGGTGGGAATCCAGGGGCCTCCCTGAATGTAGACGCTTGACCCCTACCCCTGACATCTGTGTTGCGTCCATTCTGTGCCTCCCCACAGTGAGAGTCACAGCCCGTGTGTCTGCCGGAGGCTTCCCAGCATCTCCTGCGCCTCAATCTGTGTCAGGCCTGCGGGAGGCCAGTCAAGCTGTGACCCCCAATGGCCTGTCAGCCAGAGGCACCAGCCCAGGGCAGAGAGAAGGTTGAGGAGGTGGGGAGCGTGGCTGCCACCCCGACCCTACTGTCTCCTCAGGATGTGGCTTCTCCTCATGTAACAACAGAGCTTTCTCTAAAACGGGAAATTTCAGTTTTAGCAGCTCCCAATTCTGAAGCATGACTCTCGGACTGCGTTTTCATCATGGGAAACTACATTTGTAAAAAGGCTACAATAGCCGATGGGTGGTGCCCACTAGCTGTAGAGAGCCTCTGCCCACAGCCTGGCATGTTCCCTGGTGATCAGGAGCCTGCTGGGAGCTGCCATCTCATTCTCACAGGACCCTAAAGCAAGTCTCCAGCACTGCCCTAGCACCCTGGACCCACCAAGTGCAGCTTCACGCCCAGCAAAGCCACAGGACACGTCTGCGCACACCTCCCGCCCTCCCCGTCTCCTCTCTGCTCCATCACACGAGAGGCCCATCAGGAGTGGGGATGCTCGGGGAAGGAGGAGAAGGCCCCTGTCGGGGATGAGACCATGGTCAGCTAAGCAATCCACAGTGAGCTCAGAGCAGGAGGGGCTGGCTGCAGAGAAAGAAGAAAGGAGTCAGGCAGGGAGCACACGGGCAGGATGAAGAAGAGGCCTGTGGACCGCATAAACTAGGCGTGATCCGCCCAGTCTCGTGCCAGTGAGAAGGAGCATGTGCGCGTGCACAAGGTGAAGGCGCCTCCGCAGACGGCCGACCCACCTGTCGTGGTGAATGATTAAGCTGATGGCCTCGAAGAGCACGGCGTTCTTGGCGTTGGAGTGCTGCACCTTCTTCGACTTGGGCGGTTCCTGGGCTTTGTTCAGGATGGTCTCCAGGCACTCCGTCAGGCGGCCTCGAACTGCGGGGTCTTCTGGGCAAGACAGAACGGTGCTCACCAGGCTCCCGTGGCCCGTAGCCCACCCCACCCCACCCTCCCACTGCACCCACGTATTGTGAGAGCATTTTTAATATTCACTCACATTTGTGTCCCCAGCTAGGAGCATTTACAAAACTGAAAAAGGCCGGGCACGGTGGCTCACACCTGTAATCCCAGCACTTTGGGAGGCTGAGGTGGCCAGATCACCTGAGGTCAGGAGTTCAAGACCAGCCTGGCCAACATGGTGAAACCCCATCTCTACAAAAATGCAAAAATTAGCCAGGCATGATGGCAGGTGCCTGTGATCTCAGCTACTCAGGAGGCTGAGGTGGTAGAATCACTTGAACCCTGGAGGCAAAGGTTGCAGTGAACTGAGATCACGCCAGCCTGGGCAAGAGAGGGACACTCCATCTCAAAAAGAAAGAAAACCTACTGCACAGATCTGATACTATCAAAGCACAAACAGACGCAAGCCCTAACAAAAGTATAGGCTCTGCAGTAACTCCATGAAAGCCAGGGCGCACGGCAGCACCAGCAGCAAGGCCCACGAATCAGGAGGCGGGGTCGGTAACACACTTCTTAAAGTCATCAACAAGCCACTTGAATCTGAGATAGGGAATCAGCTGGTGCAGCTTCAGGAGCCTCCGCCCGCGCATTACCTGGGGGTGGGTAGCACTGCAGCAGCCTCAGCAGTTTGACAGACAGCCAGGGAGCCGGGACAAAATAGTAAGTGTAATCCTGAAGATCTGTTGACGCGGACGTCACGATCTGTAAGAGCACAGGCAATGAGACACGACGCCCAGCACGAGTCCCCACTGCGGGAACCCAAGGAAAAGCCACATTCACTCCTCCAGTCAGGCCTGAGCTGGAAAAACGGTTTTGTTTCACACGCCAGGAGCGTCTGACACTGCTTGGGACCCCTCGGGGTCACTGTGAGAGGCGGCACACACGCCGCACAGCTGAATGGCAGCCCGAACTCAGTACAAGATACCACAGCACGTGGATTTGAATCTCCAGTCTTTCCTTTGTGCACTGGAACATGAATGAAACTTGGGCCGGTGCGGTGGCTCACGCCTGTAATCCCAGCTCTTTGGGAGGCCGAGGTGGGTGGATCACCAGGTCAAGAGATGGAGACCATCCTGGCCAACATGGTGAAACCTCGTCTCTACTAAAAATACAAAAATTAGCTGGATGTGGTGGTGCACGCCTGTAGTCCCAGCTACTCAGGAGGCTGAGGCAGGAGAACTGCTTGAACCCAGGAGGCGGAGGTTGCAGTGAGCTGAGATTGTGCCATTGCACTCCAGCCTGGAGCCTGGCGACGGACTGACATTCTATCTCAAAAAAAAAAAAAAAGAAAACTCAAGAGAGAGAGCACGCAAGGCATCTCAGAAGGAAGAAGTATACCCCCAAGAAGCTGGCACCCTGACCCAACCCCACAGCCCCTGGTCCCCCACAGGCCGCCCAGGCGCTGAGCTCGAGGAGGCATCTGCCCGCCTCACTCACATCCCATCTCTCTGTCCAACGTGGCCCTTGGCTTGGCAGATCCTCCATCAACCTCTTGAACAAACGACTATCACTACAACGTCCATCCATTTCCACTGACAGCCCGGTGACTCCTGCTTCCAGGAGGTCAGGGTAGTTCCTCCCTTCCTACAAAGCTCACATGTGAGACACTTTTAGGCTTTAGGTGAACCTATCCAGAAAAGTTCACCCTGACTCCTGCCCTAAGCTGAAATACACCATTCCAGACGGGGGTCACAGACACCTGCTGCAGGGAGGTGAGCTCTAGGCTTCCTGTCAAAGAGAGGGCTGAAAGGCACAAATGCAAAGCAGAAAAGGCAAGAATCACAGCACTTACGTGACAGAGACACAGCCAGTGGGAGCCGTCCCTCAAACACGTATGCAGCTAAAGCCAGGCTCACAGAAAAACGTATAGCCTTAAATGTACATATTTGAAACAAATATAAAGAGAAAGGCAACAAAAATTCATCTCAACCCAAAGGAAAGGAGGCTGGGAGCGGTGGCTCACGCCTGTCATCCCAGCACTTTGGGAGGCTGAGGCAGGCAGATCACCTGAGGTCAGGAGTTCAAGACCCAGCCTGGCCAACATGGCGAAACCTTGTCTCTACTAAAAATACAAAAATTAGCTAGACACGGTGGGGGGCGGGGGGGCGCCTGTAATCCCATCTATTTGGGAGGCTGAGGCAGGAGAATCACTTGAACCCAGGTGGAGATTGCAGTGAGACAAGATTATGATACTGCACTCCAGGCTGGGTAATGAGCAAGACACTGACTCAAAGAAAGAGAAAAAGAGGAAGAAAATATGCACATTTCTCCACTTATAAAGTAAACTGAATTCATAATCAGAAAGTTTCCCACAAAGAAAACTCCAGATTCAAACGGTTTTACCAGCTAATGATAGAAACTTTGGCAAACAGAGAAAGGAACTTCTCTGACGTGATCAAGCGTGCCAGCAACACAACATTCTAGAGCAGACGTCACACTCACAAAGACAAGACGACCCAGGGCAAAAATGGGTAAGAGTCTCAGGCCCGGCACAAAACAAGATACCCAAACAGCCAATCAACATGCAAAGGTCCTCAACCTCACTGATAATCAGGAAAAGGCAGATTTAAATCACAAGGAAGCAGACTGCGATGGTGACACCTGCAATCCTAGCAGTTGGGAGGCCAAGACAGGCGGACTGCCTGAGGTCAGGACTTTGAGGCCAGCCTGGCCAACATGGTGAAACCTCATCTCTACTAAAAATACAAAAATCAGCCGGGCGTGATGCTGCAGCCTATAATCCCAGCTACTCAAGAGGCTGAGGCGGAAGAATCTCTTGAACCCGGGAGGCCGAGACTGCACCACTGCACTCTAGCCTGGGCATCAGAGCGAAACTCTATGTCAAGAAAACAAAACAAAACAAAAATCCCAAGGGGCTAACACTAGCACGTGCTGTGCCCACGCCTCCTACTGCTGGGAAGGCCAGGCAGACCACACGGGAGGCTGGTCTGGCACCACCTGTCTCCTCAGGTTCAGGAGCTGCAGCCCCTAACTGAGCCACACCACATCTCAACAGACGCCCACAGCATCTCGTGTGCATGGAAACCAAGGGACAGCCAAGACTGCTCACGCTAGAGGGGACACAGTAGCCCCAGAGGACAAGGAGCTAAGTGTTCAACAGGACAGAGGTCAACTGCAGGGGTCAGTTCACACAACCGATTCTATGCAGCATCAGAAATGAACGTGTAACCGCTGCACACAAAACAAACACTTCACAACGTTGAACAAAACAAGAATGTGCGCTGCAGGTCCACCTACAAAAAACCCAAACACACAGCTCAACAGCAGGCGTCAGCGCACACGCCAGCCGGTGGGTCCCAAGGCAGAGCCAGCAGCGCCTGCCCGCGGGGGACACGGGCCCTGGGTGCCACCCCTCCTCCCGAGTGGTACTGGGTGCTCGCTCACACGACAGGAACAGGGAACTGGGCTCCGCACAGACGGAACAGCTCTGAATTAAGAAGAAGGTTGAAAGAGAAGCCAAGTGGGTTTTCACCCCGAATTTACAAACAGACCCCATGCCTTGTATTCTAAAAGTAAGCTAATAAATGAATGAGACAAAACCCACCCTCACTTATGCTCCCCCAGACAGACTTACTCTGCTTAGCCTAGAGACGGCCAGAGACACGGAGGTTTTAAACTCCTCTGGGTTCTTCTGTGCTAAAGTGGTGATCAGACTCGTGGCTGCAGTCACCACACCCTGAAAGAAAACGCACACACACAACAGTCAAAACACTGGAAGCTACACGCTCGTGTTAACTCATCTTCCAAACAAAACCTGAAGCCTACCAGCAACATGCCAGCAGCCCACGGCCACTTTGGCCTACTTGGAGAGACCGACAGCGTAGGTTTTCTTTGCCAGCCTCTCCTTAAAAGCTGGGAAACTCAGTTATGCTCAGCCCAGATCCCACCAGTGTGAAGAGCCAGAGGGCGGCGCTCGGCCACGCAGGTCAAGCCTGGGGCTGCACACGTGCTGCCCTCTCCTGGCCTGGCCTCCACTGTCGCCTGCACTCGTGCCTCTGATCTAATCATTCCAAGTTCACTGCAGCAGGAGACACCACCTTTAGACTGATTTAAATCTTTACAACCCAGAAGTGAGACCGCAGAAAAAAGCAGCTGAAGAAGTCCTTTTCCATTCTCCTTTTTGGAAAGTGGTCCTGGCAGTCACTGAACCACAGTCTGGATGAGGCCACCAGGCCCAGCACCCAAGTCCTCCCTCCATGCTATTCTGGCTCACTGAGAACAGATTCAGACCCCAGGGCACAAGGGGTCCTCCCCAAAGCACCAGGCAGCCCGTTACTGTCCCAGCACAAGCACTAGGGATTCAGTCACTCGCACCTCTTGAAAGAAGACTTTAGTTACACAAAGACGTTCTCCCACAAATACTTTAAATAAACGATACCTATTCACTCTGAAAAGGCAAACAGCTCAGGAAATGTCTACTTGCGCCAGCACAGTGGCTCACACCTGTAATCCCAGCACTTTGGGAGGCCAAGGCAGGTGGATCACCTGAGGTCAGGAGTTTAAGACCAGCCTGACCAACATGGAGAAACCCCGTCTCTACAAAAATACAAAATTAGCTGGGTGTGGTGGCAGGTGCCTGTAATCCCAGCTACCTGGGAGGCCAAGGCAGGAGAACTGCTGGAACCTGGGAGGTGGAGGTTGCAGTGAGCCGAGATTGCACCATTGCACTACAGCCTGGGCAACAAAATCGAAACTCAGTTTCAAAAAAAAAACAATTAGCTGGGCATGGTGGTGCTCACCTGTAATCCCAGCTACTCAGGAAACCAAGGCAGGAGAATCCTCCTTGAACCCAGGAGGCAGAGGCTGGAGTGAACTGAGATCCCACCACTGCACTCCAGCCTGTACCACAGAATGAGACTCTGTCTCAAAAATAAAAAAGGAAACGTCTACTTGCAGGACGCATGCAATCCCCCCACCCCTCGCCCCACGTCTACCTGGACACACGCGATCCCCCCACCCCTCGCCCCACATCTACCTGGACACACGCAATCCCCCCATCCCTCGCCCCACGTCTACCTGGACACACGAAATCCCCCCACCCCTCACCCCACATCTACCTGGACACACGCAATCCCCCCACCCCTCACCCCGCGTCTACCTGGACACACGAAATCCCCCCACCCCTCACCCCACATCTACCTGGACACATGCAATCCCCCCACCCCTCACCCCGTGTCTACCTGAATGTATGCAATCCCCCCACCCCTCAACCCGCATCTACCTGAATGTATGCAATCCCCCCACCCCTCAACCCGCATCTACCTGAATGTATGCAATCCCCCCACCCCTCAACCCGCATCTACCTGAATGTATGCAATCCCCCCACCCCTCACCCCACACCCACCTGGACACACGAAATCCCCCCACCCCTCACCCCACATCTACCTGGACACATGCAATCCCCCCACCCCTCACCCCGTGTCTACCTGAATGTATGCAATCCCCCCACCCCTCAACCCGCATCTACCTGAATGTATGCAATCCCCCCACCCCTCACCCCGCATCTACCTGAATGTATGCAATCCCCCCACCCCTCACCCCGCATCTACCTGAATGTATGCAATCCCCCCACCCCTCAACCCGCATCTACCTGAATGTATGCAATCCCCCCACCCCTCACCCCGCATCTACCTGAATGTATGCAATCCCCCCACCCCTCACCCCGCATCTACCTGAACGTATGCAATCCCCCCACCCCTCACCCCACGTCTACCTGGACACATGCAATCCCCCCACCCCTCACCCCACGTCTACCCGGACACACTCAATCCCCCCACCCCTCACCCCACATCTACCTGGACACACTCAATACCCCCACCCCTCACCCCAAGTCTACCTGAATGTATGCAATCCCCCCACCCCTCACCCCAAGTCTACCTGGACACATGCAATCCTCCCACCCCTCACCCTGCGTCTACTTGGACACCTGCAATCCACCCACCCCTCACCCTGTGTCTACCTGGACACATGCAACCCTCCACCTGCACCCTGCGTCTACCTGGATATATGCAATCCCCCCACCCCTCACCCTGCATCTACCTGGACACATGCAATCCCCCCACCACTCACCTCGCGTCTACCTGGACACATGCAATTCCCCCACCCCTCGCCCTGCACATGGCTCCTGAGCCTGGTCAGGGTACAGCTCCTACAGCACAGCACTCTCCCCAGAGACCCGAGGTGCCTGTGCCCTCAGCCTTCCAAGGAAAAGGTGTAAAGAAACGGGTCTGATTGGTCTTCCTGTATTTCTCGGTGAGCAAAGTGCCTAGCTCATTAGGACGTCCCTCCCCTGAACAGAGACTGCAAGGGGCCTGGAAAGGGGCACACTCAGGACTTGACACGTGGCCCTAACCTGTGGCGGCAGCTGGTGCCGAGGCAACCTCGGTGTCTGCTCAGCGGCCTCCAGCCCTGGCCCTGCCCCCAAACCCTTTTCCCCATGGTGTCTCCTGTCCTAATCCACTCCAACCAGTCTCTCCACCAGGCCACCCTCGGGCTACAGGACCCATGGCTCGGCATAGCGTCCATGCCCACTCCAACCTGTCTCTCCACCAGGCCACCCTCGGGCTATGGGACCCATGGCTCGGCATAGCGTCCATGCCCACTCCAACCTGTCTCTCCACCAGGCCACCCTCGGGCTACGGGACCCATGGCTCGGCATGGCGCCCATGCCCACTCCAACCTGTCTCTCCACCAGGCCACCCTCGGGCTACGGGACCCATGGCTTGGCATGGCGCCCATGCCCACTCCAACCTGTCTCTCCACCAGGCCACCCTCGGGCTACGGGACCCATGGCTTGGCATGGCACCCATGCCGTGCTCAAGCCACATCTCTTCCCCCACCACCCCGCTCCAGGCCATCGCAAAGGTCACCTGGGGGAGCGGGATAGGGCACCAAGGCCAAGGGCACTTACCAAGTGCTGGTCGTTGAGCAGGTGCACCACCCGAGATGTCCAGTCGCCCATGGGGACAAGGTCGGGGGACGTCCGGTACAGGCGCAGCAAGCACAGGGCCGCGCTCTGCTTCACGCTGTCCATGGTGTCTCTGAAAGAGAGAAGTCAAGAGTCACTCTCGATGGCTGAATGCAGCGTGGAGCCTCATGGAGTATCCCGAGCCAGCTGGAGACGCTGCTGTGGGGCTGGTGCGGGGCCAGGACAGCTGGGACAGCATTCAGGGCAGGGCCGCTGCCGCCTGCCGAGGGCCACCTGGGGAGCAGCACACACGGGCCCCGCTGCAAAGGTCTCCCTGCCAACCTTCTCACCACCAAAACCACCAGCCAACCACACGCAGCTCACACTGTTCATTCACTGCTTCAACAGCAGCTTTTCGTTGTTGCTGTTACAACTACTAAGTAACCCACAATCACAACAGAAACGCGTGGAGCTCCCCGTCTCCTGGGTTATCCCCCCACAACACCGGCCCTCACCCCACCATGCCCGCCCTGAACAGCAGGCTGGAGCGCCCACGCCCTCACCCCACATGGTGGGAGGGGAGCTGGCGTGGCTCTCCTGCTCTGCAGTTGACAAGCATGTCCAGGGCACAGGTGTGCTCCATGCTCTGCTTACCCCCTTTGCCCTCCCGCCACCAGACTCTGCTGAGCAACAGAAACGTGACAGGGAGCCTGGAGTGGATGCCGTGAGCATGGCTGGAAAAGGGCCAGCCTGACCTCAAAGTGCCTCACAGAATCAGCCGGGACTCTGCCGGAAGGAAGAAAAGGCTGTAGGGACCACCTGTGCCTTCACCTTTAGCTTTTTATTCCTAAATCTCTCCCTATACCATGCCAAATAAAAATAACTTTGAGTGAAAACTCCATCTTTTGGGTGCAAACACCCCCTGAAGGAGGAGGAGGTACTGTCCCTCTTCCGCCTACCCCATCCTTACGGGATCAGCCCGGAGGAAAAACCGTGTGCCCACCCTGCCGTGTGTCCCTGTGGATGTGTGGCTTTGACCATGTTGGGGTGTGTCCCAGGCAGCTTCAGGACCCCAGCAGTCCTTCAGCACAGAGGAGCCAACCAGGATACATGCTCGTGGCTACAAATGCTGACACAGGAGGGCACCTAGCATGCCACTCCTCAGAGAGGAGAATGCACAAGGGCTGCGTCAGCTCACACGGGGGTGGGGGGTGGGACAGAGGGCCCCACCACTACTCTCCAGCGTAATCTCACATGGGGGGACAGAGGACTCCATGGCTACTCTCCAACATCAGCTCACACGGGGGCGCGGGGGTGGGACAGAGAGCCCCACCACTACTCTCCAGCGTCAGCTCACATGGGGGGACAGAGGACCCCACAGTGACCCTCCAGCGTCGGCTCACGTGAGGGGGTCCGAGGGCCCCAGGGCTACTCTGCATCTCCACATTGGTTCTCTTTCCACGAATTCCATCCATCCCAGCAGAAACACCTCCCCACCACTCTTCTGCCTTGGCCGGTGCCCCCCGTACCTACCTCTGGCCCTAGGAATGACCTGTCACTCATTCCTCAGCACCCACCCTGTCCTCTAGTCTCCAGGTGACACACACCAGGGGTCCTCCAACCACAGCACCTCCTTCCTGAGGACGGTTTTTTTTTTCTTTTTTTTTTTTGAGGCAGAGTCTTATTCTGTTACCCAGGCTGGAGTGCAGTGGCGCAATCTCAGCTCACGGCAGCCTCTGTCTCCCAGGTTCAAAGCAATTCTCCTGCCTGTCTCCCAAGTAGCTGGGATTACAAGTGCCCACCAACACCACCACACCCAACTAATTTTTCTATTTTTAGTAGAGACAGGGTTTCACCATGTTGGCCAGGCTGGTCTCAAACTCCTGACCTTAGGTAGCCCGCCCACCTCGGCCTCCTGAGTGCTGGGACTACAGGCATGAGCACCTCGCCAAGCCCAAGCATGCTAGTTTGAATCATCAACTACTTCACTGGATTTCAACAATTGGCCCCTTACTTCAAGAAGGCCCATGGGTACCATGTTACCTGAGCTCTCGGAAGTAGGAGAACCCTGCCTGCGACCTCCATCCCCACGAGACCACTCAGGCACCACAACATGGGCCACCCACTCCCTTCCAGCCACAGACACTGTGCGCCAGCCTCTGGAGACCCCTCCTCATGGTGGCTCCTCCTTCCTCCGTCCCTGGCTCCTGCAGCAGGTCCTTGGTTCAGGGAGCACCTGCCCTGTCCATCTACACGTGCTGCGTCCATCTACGCGTGCCCCGTCCATCTATGTGAGCTCCGTCCATCTACGCGTGCCCCGTCCATCTATGTGTGCTCCGTCCATCTACGTGTGCCCTGTCCATCTACACGTGCTCCGTCCATCTATGCGTGCCCCATCCATCTACACGTGCTCCATCCATCTACGCGTGCTCCGTCCATCTACGCGTGCCCCGTCCATCTACGTGAGCTCCGTCCATCTACGCGTGCCCCGTCCATCTACGCGTGCCCCGTCCATCTACGCGTGCCCCGTCCATCTACGCGTGCCCCGTCCATCTACGCGTGCCCCGTCCATCTACGCGTGCTCCGTCCATCTACGCGTGCTCCGTCCATCTACGCGTGCCCCGTCCATCTACGCGTGCCCCGTCCATCTACGCGAGCTCCGTCCATCTACGCGTGCCCCGTCCATCTATGCGTGCTCCGTCCATCTACGCGTGCTCCGTCCATCTACGCGTGCCCCGTCCATCTACGTGAGCTCCGTCCATCTACGCGTGCCCCGTCCATCTACGTGAGCTCCGTCCATCTACGCGTGCCCCGTCCATCTACGTGAGCTCCGTCCATCTACGCGTGCCCCGTCCATCTACGCGTGCCCCGTCCATCTACGCGTGCCCCGTCCATCTACGCGAGCTCCGTCCATCTACGCGTGCCCCGTCCATCTATGCGTGCTCCGTCCATCTACGCGTGCCCCATCTACGCGTGCCCCGTCCATCTACGCGTGCCCCGTCCATCTACGCGTGCCCCGTCCATCTACGCGAGCTCCGTCCATCTACGCGTGCCCCATCTACGCGTGCCCCGTCCATCTACGCGTGCTCCGTCCATCTACGCGTGCCCCGTCCATCTACGCGTGCCCCGTCCATCTACGCGAGCTCCGTCCATCTACGCGTGCCCCGTCCATCTACGCGTGCTCCGTCCATCTACGCGTGCTCCGTCCATCTACGCGTGCCCCGTCCATCTACGTGAGCTCCGTCCATCTACGCGTGCCCCGTCCATCTACGTGAGCTCCGTCCATCTACGCGTGCCCCGTCCATCTACGTGAGCTCCGTCCATCTACGCGTGCCCCGTCCATCTACGCGTGCCCCGTCCATCTACGCGTGCCCCGTCCATCTACGCGAGCTCCGTCCATCTACGCGTGCCCCGTCCATCTATGCGTGCTCCGTCCATCTACGCGTGCCCCATCTACGCGTGCCCCGTCCATCTACGCGTGCCCCGTCCATCTACGCGTGCCCCGTCCATCTACGCGAGCTCCGTCCATCTACGCGTGCCCCGTCCATCTATGCGTGCTCCGTCCATCTACGCGTGCCCCGTCCATCTACGCGTGCTCCGTCCATCTACGCGTGCCCCGTCCATCTATGCGTGCTCCGTCCATCTACGCGTGCCCCGTCCATCTACGCGTGCTCCGTCCATCTACGCGTGCCCCGTCCATCTATGCGTGCTCCGTCCATCTACGCGTGCTCCGTCCATCTACGCGTGCCCCGTCCATCTATGTGTGCTCCGTCCATCTACGCGTGCTCCGTCCATCTACGCGTGCTCCGTCCATCTACGCGTGCCCCGTCCATCTATGTGAGCTCCGTCCATCTACGCGTGCCCCGTCCATCTACATGTGCTCCATCCATCTACGCGTGCCCCGTCCATCTACGCGATCTACGCGTGCCCCGTCCATCTACGCGTGCCCCGTCCATCTACGCGTGCCCCGTCCATCTACGCGTGCTCCGTCCATCTATGCGTGCTCCGTCCATCTACGCGTGCCCCGTCCATCTATGTGAGCTTCAGGAGTGGCCCTGTCTTGCACTCACGCACAGACACCCACCAAGCACCTACTAGGGACCTGGTACTGTTGAAGATGCTGGGTGTAAAGCGGCCGCCGCAGTGGACAGAAACCTCAGAGCACAGGGAGCTTCCACCCCAAAGGTGAAAACAGGCAATAAACAGGCAAGCAACAACCCTGGGGCAGGAGGGCAGGGGCCACAGCTGCGAGGTGGGATCCGCTGGACCTTCTGGCTGGTTCCGATCCCAAGTTCCACCCTCCCTCTCCCACACCAGCACTCTGATCATCTGAGCCTTCCTTCCATTTTGGGCACTGTTTTTGGGGCGCCCACCACATGCTCTGCCACCTGTGACGGAATGGCCTGAGGAGTGATGGTGCCTCCAGGCCCTCCGAGCTCCCCCGGCTCCGCAGCTCTGCTTCTCTCTGTCCTACTGTGCACCCACCCGTCTCTGAGCTCCCGCATGTCTGAATCTGTCTTCTCGGTGCTGTGCTACCGTCTCCTGCCTGCCCGGCTCCTCCCTGCCTCACAGCTGATGGGAGCCTGTCTCATTCTCTGTGGTGGGGCGTCCTGTGTAGTGTGGGGTGCAGCACAGCCCCCTGGTCTCTACCCACCAGATACCAGGGCACGCCCTCCACTCTGACAACTAAAACTGCCCCAAGACAGGACCCAATGTCCTCACAAAGCCAAGGTGGCCCAGGTGAGAAGCGGTCTAGGCCTGCTTTCCTCAAGCCTGCTCACCACCTTCTCTCTGCTCCTCACTGTACTGTGTAGTCCAGGTGGATGTCCTGTGGCCTCAGGCCTGGCTCAGCTGGATGGTACTGTGTGGGCTGTGGGTCACCAACTCCACAGGGCATCCTGGAACACGCAGGCAGGGGCCGGAACTGGGGCACAGACAGCCCAGGGCTGCTTTAAGCTCTTCCAGAGCTGGCGACTCAGCCCCACAAGGCTTCTCTCCAAGTGAACAAGGGATGGGACAGATGGCCCAGGGCACTCAGGTGGCGCTCAGTTCTCTGTGTGAAGCCCTCTGGAAAGAGCATGAGGAGGAGCTGCCCTGAGATGCATCGCTCCACCCCGTGCCCTGTGGGGCTTGGCTGTGGCTGGCAGGGTTTGGGTGTTCTTCTTTCATCTGGTTTTTGAATCTCAGTGGTACTGGGAAGGGAAAGTCTGGTTGCACTAATTTTCTTTGTTTTGGAGACAAGGTCTCGCTGTCGCCCAGGCTGGAGTGCAGTGGCATGAACACGGCTCCCCACAGCCTTGACTCCCTGGCCTCCAGCAACCCTCCTGCCTCAGCCTACCACACCTGTGAGTAGCTGGGACCACAGGAGCATGCCACCACATCTGGCTAATTTTTAAAAATTGTTTGTAGAGATGGGGTCTCCCTATGTTGCCCAGGCTGGCCTTGAACTCCTGGGCTCAAGCAATTCTCCCACCTTGGCCTCCCACAGTGCTGAGATGAGAGGCGTGAGCCACCGTGCCTGGCCTAAGCTTGTAATTCTGGATCTGACCTTAGGCTACCTCTCATCTCCCATGACACAAGATGGGGAGAGTGACAGTTCCTCAGCTAAGCAGCTGTGGAGCTGACGTATTTCACATGGGAGCCCGCACGTACCCGGCCACCAGGACCTTGGGGATCTCCCCGGCGAAGGCCTCGGCCATCTCCCGGCTGCCCACGCTGGCGATGCAGTGCAGGGCCAGGCCCATGAAGGTGGGGTTGCGGCTGGCCAGGTCGTTCTTGATGGCATTGTTGATGAGGCGGATGAGCTCGCTGTTGGAGTTCACCAGCACGGAGATGAAGAGGTAGCCCTGCTCCAAGAAGACAGGAGAACAGAGAGCGTGTGACCCTGAGTCCGCCTGCAGCTCGGAGTCACGCGACAAGCAGCCATGCACGTGATCAGGGGATCACGGCAGGACATGTTCAAAACATGCAGCAGACCCCAAAGCCTGCAGCAGATCCTGGCACCACCCAGGCACCCAGGATGCTGCTGTAGCAGCTGCGCCGCTCAGGACTCAGCAAGCATCTGCTGCGGTGGAACCAAGGCTCCCTGGGCTGTGACGCTGCCACGGCACAGCGTTCCTGCAGGACACAGCTGACTAGGAGGCCAGAAGCCAGAAGCCGACAGGAACCAGACTCCCAGGCACCAGCCACATCAAACACTGGACCGCCTGCAGCGCTCTCCAGACCGACCGGTAAGTCCTGAGACTCACGAAGTGGGTTGTAAAGAAAGCAGGAAGCGAAGGCCTGGCCACCTCGTCAGGAGAAGCACACGGAGGAGGAACCCTGCCAGGGCCTCAGGCTTCCTGAAGAGCATGCAGACTGGGCGGGAAAGGGGGCCCCAGGGTGTCAGCAGCAGGTGCTAACACAGGCTGGGCACACATCTCCATCTGCAGCAGACCCACGAGGCTCGTGTCAGATGTGAAAAGGTAGAAAAGGAGGCGGCGACCCTAAGGGGGCACAGGGCCTCAGTCCTGCCAGGCACATGCCTCTGCCTACAGCGATACTCACGATCTGCTTTTCGGTGTATCTGTTTGAACTCAGCAGGTTGACGGCCTCCATGTGTCCAAAGTCAATGTCATGACCAAGGAGAAAGATGAAGAGCAACTTGCAGACATACTTCTTTTTACTATAGCCATCAAGAGCCTTGTCACCTATGGAAAAGGTGGGGAAAAGGTTTACTCCAGGGGCAGAGGCAGGAAGAACAGAGAGCTGCGCAGCAGTGCGGCAGGTAGCAGGGGGCAGCCGGGCCAGGCAGGTGCCGCTGCAGACGCTGCTGAGCATGCAGAGCATTTCTAAACTCGTGGGACATGCCAGAATCCAGGTTTTCCACTTCCCTTTCAAATACAGGCACCAGAACATCTGTCAACAAGAGCTCTGCCCTCCCCGGACAACCCTGGCCAGGTGCAGCCCAACCAGCCTCACTCCAACCAGCCAAAATCCCACAGATGGCCCTGCCCCGTAGAGCTTGCAAACCCTGCCTTCAACCAGCAAGCTAGTCTCTGAAGTCAGTTTAATTTAGGCAGATGAACAGGGTAAATTACCGGCCACTTCCCAGCCATTCTACCGCAAACCAGCTAGTCACGAAAACAAAGCAGGCAGAGAGTCCCTAGGGCTTGTTTCTCCCTCATCACAGCTCGTCTGAGCGCCTCACAAGGGATCACCACAGGACAGGTTCAAAACATGAAAGTGGCAGAATATGAAACTGCAAAATATAAAACCAACCCTTAAAAAAATGGCCATTCCCTGGGCACGGTGGCTCATGCCTGTAATCCTGGCACTTTGGGTGGCCGAGGCAGGGGGAACACCTAAGATCAGGAGTTCAAGACCAGCCTGGCTAAGATGGTGAAACCCCATTTCTACTAAAAATATTTTAAAAATGGCTGGGCATGGTGGCGGGCACCTGTAATCCTAGCTACTTGGGAGGCTGAAGCAGGAGAATCACTGGAACCAGGGGTAGAGGTTGCAGTGAGCTAAGATCACACCAATGCCCAGCAGCCTGGGCAACATGAGGGAAACTCCGTCGCAAAAAAAAATAAAAAATAAAAAAGGCTGCTCTGTACAGCACTAGGAGTTCCTATCCCAGAGATGTGGGAGAGGCGGGCAGTGCCCCTCAGAGCCAGCCTTCAGCAGGCTGTGGAGGCAGTGGGAAAGGCAGCCTCGTGCACACCGGGCCTCCAGGGAGACTCTGCTGCCCTAGCGTGGAGGGACACAGGCTGGAAGACGGCCCAGCCATGCTGGCTGCTCTGCCTGCTTCTTGTGAAGGGCTGGGCACTCACACCTCCGTGGATGAATGCTGGCCAGCTTCTCAGGCTATGCAGAACACAAAGAGGCCAGGCTTCCCGGGGAATGGTGCCTCACAAGTCAGCCAGTCAGGGGGATGCTGCATTCTGAGGGGCTCATGAGAAACCCCCTCCTTGTCAGCAGCAGACCCGACCTGGTTCCAACCTCCCTACTGACCCACTTATCTGCTGGCTGTGCCCAAGGGGTGCCAGCACACATGTTCTCAGTGCCCAGCCTACGAGAGAGCACATGCGTTCTCAGTGCCCGGCCTGTGACAGAGGGCACACATATTCTCAGTGCCCGGCCTGTGAGAGAGGGCACACGCGTCTCAGTGCCCGGCCTGTGAGAGAGGGCACTCGTGTCTCAGTGCCCGGCCTGTGAGAGAGGGCACACGCGTCTCAGTGCCCGGCCTGTGAGAGGGCACACGTGTCTCAGTGCCCGGCCTGTGAGAGAGGGCACACGTGTCTCAGTGCCCGGCCTGTGAGAGAGGGCACACGTGTCTCAGTGCCCAGCCTGTGACAGAGGGCACACACGTTCTCAGTGTCCGGCCTGTGAGAGAGGGCACACACGTTCTCGGTGCCCGGCCTGTGACAGAGGGCACACATATTCTCAGTGCCCGACCTGTGAGAGAGGGCACACGTGTTCTCAGTGCCCGGCCTGTGAGAGAGGGCACACGTGTTCTCAGTGCCCGGCCTGTGAGAGAGGGCACACGCGTCTCAGTGCCCGGCCTGTGAGAGAGGGCACACGCGTCTCAGTGCCCGGCCTGTGAGAGAGGGCACACGCGTCTCAGTGCCCGGCCTGTGAGAGAGGGCACACGTGTCTCAGTGCCCAGCCTGTGACAGAGGGCACACATGTTCTCAGTGCCCGGCCTGTGAGAGAGGGCACACATGTTCTCAGTGCCCGGCCTGTGACAGAGGGCACACATGTTCTCAGTGCCCGGCCTGTGAGAGAGGGCACACATGTTCTCAGTGCCCGGCCTGTGACAGAGGGCACACATGTTCTCAGTGCCCGGCCTGTGAGAGAGGGCACACGTGTCTCAGTGCCCGGCCTGTGAGAGAGGGCACACACGTTCTCAGTGTCCGGCCTGTGAGAGAGGGCACACACGTTCTCGGTGCCCGGCCTGTGACAGAGGGCACACATATTCTCAGTGCCCGGCCTGTGAGAGAGGGCACACGCGTCTCAGTGTCCGGCCTGTGAGAGAGGGCACACATGTTCTCAGTGCCCGGCCTGTGAGAGAGGGCACACACATCTCAGTGCCCGGCCTGTGAGAGAGGGCACACGCGTCTCAGTGCCCGGCCTGTGAGAGAGGGCACACATATTCTCAGTGCCCGGCCTGTGAGAGAGGGCACACATGTTCTCAGTGTCCGGCCTGTGAGAGAGGGCACACGCATCTCAGTGCCCGGCCTGTGAGAGAGGGCACACACAGCTGAGCACAGGCTTCGCAACAGAGATCTTTCCACTGGAAAGCCCAGCACCATGTCTCCTCCCAGCCCAGATTCCATCACCTGCTGGAAGCCACCATGGACAACCACAGCCAAAAATACTGCGTGACCTCCTCCTGCCTCCGGACTTTTCCCTGTCACTCACTCAAAGCATCTCAAAGGAACAAAATGACCAACAGCCCGACTGGGCGGAGTTCTGTGGGACGCAGACGCAGGTGCAGACGGGGCTCCCTCCCAGAAGAGCCGACTGGCCTCTGCTCCTGCAGGACCCCAGGCGCGGCACTGCTCTAGAGCTTCCGGGCGCTGGGAAACAGGCCCACCTTCAGAGGCTGAGCCCACCAGACAGTCCGCTGCTCACGTGGCGGTGTGCGCATTCCTGACCTAACCCGGGGCTGCAGCAAACAAGCAGTGATGCTCGTTCCACACCCTCGCCGGCCTCGGTGGGGCAGACGAGCTCACCAGCTCCCATGACAGGTGCCTGGATGCATCTGGCATGTGTCACCTGGGCACGGAGGGCACATGAGGAGTAGGTCTAATGCCCTCACACAGATCCGCCAGGTGAACCACAGGGATTCAGACCCAATCTCTGACTCCAAAATTCACCACCCAGACAAAGCACCGTTGTGCCAGGGGCGAGCTACTGCCTTCCCACGCCACACGAACCCCGAACCCTCCACTGCACACTCTGCCTCTGCAGGGAGCCTCTGTGCCTTCCTCAGTCACACTTTCTCAGCAGAAGGCACTGGGAGGACATGGGTGGATTTCCCACGCCACACGAACCCCGAACCCTCCACTGCACACTCTGCCTCTGCAGGGAGCCTCTGTGCCTTCCTCAGTCACACTTTCTCAGCAGAAGGCACTGGGAGGACATGGGTGGATTTCCCACGCCACACGAACCCCGAACCCTCCACTGCACACTCTGCCTCTGCAGGGAGCCTCTGCGCTTCCTCAGTCACACTTTCTCAGCAGAAGGCACTGGGAGGACATGGGTGGATTTCCCACGCCACACGAACCCCGAACCCTCCACTGCACACTCTGCCTCTGCAGGGAGCCTCTGTGCCTTCCTCAGTCACACTTTCTCAGCAGAAGGCACTGGGAGGACATGGGTGGATTTCCCACGCCACACGAACCCCGAACCCTCCACTGCACACTCTGCCTCTGCAGGGAGCCTCTATGCCTTCCTCAGTCACACTTTCTCAGCAGAAGGCACTGGGAGGACATGGGAGGATAAAGGCTGGAGCAGGATCAGAGGGTGTGAGGCCATGAGGCCACAGGTGAAGCCTGCGATCCACACGTGACCTCACAGCCTCAGCCTGGCCACAACCTTCCCATGAGCCTTTCGACGTGACTGTGGTGCCCAGAGGGCTCCTTGACTACGCCAGCCCTCAGATTCCCTCTGCAGCCCCCATGCAACTGGCTAAGGATGGCCAGCACCTGGCCTGCCCGCACCAGCAAACTTCCCTGCTATCCGGTAGACTGGGTTTCCCTTTGCTCCAAGCCAGTCCAGCTCCAGCTCTCAAGAGGGGCCTCTCCACAGCTGCCCTGGGGACTGTCTTCAGCCCCCCGGGGGGCCATACGCAGTTCCTTCTATCTCAGAGTCATTCTATCAGAGCGCAGCAATTCTTTATGAGAAGCCTCCCTCTTCAGCCCACCGTGAAGTCCACCTCTCCTGAAAGGACCCAGATCATAGAGCCTCGAAACGTGAGTTTCAGTCCTGGGCTAGGGTCGCTTCTCTTGTTGAGCTGAACTTTAGCATTCAAGGAGGAGGGCAACGGGAGTGCCTTCTCCCTGGTTTGCGCAGATCAGAGGAGAGAACGGCTGGGAAGCCTCATCCCAAACCCTAAAACTATCACAATTAAGGAAGGGCTCCTACCTGAAAGGTGCAGCCACTTGCCTGTCCTGTGGTCTCAGACACATTCCTTAACCTCTCTGAGCCCAACTTCCTCAGCAGGTCATAAAAATGAAACGGCACAGCACACACGGAGCTTCAGGTGTATGGGGCAACGTAAGGTCACAACACAGGTTCGTCAGCGCCATCTTCCACTGACTCATCAGATGCATACAGACTTCACAGATGCTAACATGTGACAAAATGCCCACCTCAGAAGGACTGAAACCTGCTTGCTGCTTTTTTTCCGAGATAGTCTTGCTCTGTCAATCAGGCTGGAGTGCAGTGGTGCAATCTTAGCTCACTGAAACCTCCATCTCCCAGGTTCAAGAGATTCTCCTGCCTCAGCCTCCCAAGTAGCTGGGACTACAGGTACCAGCCACCACGCCCAGTTAATTTTTATATTTTTGGTAGAGACAGGGTTTCACCATGTTGGCCAGGCTGCTCTCAAACTCCTGACCTCAGGTGATCCGCCTGCCTTGACCTCCCAGAGTGCTGGGATTACAGGCGTGAGCCACTGTGCCCAGCCTGAAACCTGGTA